AATTGAAAGATGAGGAAATCATGCACCATGTTCAAACCACACCAGCATGTGAAAACCATCATACTCAGGTGGGGTTACCTTTTCCGATGCAGGAGAATCATGTTCATTGCGGATGGGCAGAGGCAGATGCCACTGAGTGGCATTCAAGGACTAACAACTTGTCGTAATTTTTGGGTTTCCTCAGATAATCATGTCTTTCCATTTCTACAGAACGCACATAAATAAGTCACTCCCATCACATTCTCCTAAAAATTTCAAGAAACATTTTTCTTTAAAGGAAAAAGAAAACAGAACAAGAAAGCAAGGCAGTATGCTGGGCCTAAACAATTCAATAGAAATTTTCTGCAGATACATGTGACAAATTTTACTCCTCTGCCCTGTTCCTCTTATTTTAGTAATTGAACTCTGAAACTTTGAAAGGAATTCAGCGGGTTCGTCCACTCTCTCTTTAAATCTTAGATTGGCTAAACAACTAAAAAATGGTTAACTATAAAAAAGGAAGAAAAATCTATATGTAGATTTTATGTAGAAAAGTTGAGACATCAATATAACAAATAAAAGATAAAGTACCTGACATTAGAGAGTTGAGAGTGAAATGAGAAGCAAAAGTTTTGGTGTGAGAGAGAGAGAGAGAAAGAGAGAGAGAGAGAGAGAGAGAGATCATATCATGATGACTTTGTCATCTATCTTTTTATGCAAGGAATATATGAGCTATCTTTCTCCATTCTTTTCCCTTCTTGTTCTCATACCTCTTCTTCAGAGAGAGGGCATCTGGTGATGTTCGGGAAAGAAATAGATGCCGGAAAACCCTGTTTTGGCAGGAAGTCGAGACTATCACACCTTCCAATATATAGCTTTTGAAGAGAAGAGAGATGTTGAAGTCCATTTATGTCCAAAGATTTCAGACTTGATAGATAAGAGATTGCAAGAGTGTGAAGAGCGGTAAGAAGCAGCTGTTCCTTGAGCAACTTCTTCAACACATCCTCGCTGCTGATCTGAAATCTTTGAAGGGAGACAAGTCGTTGCAAACCCCAGTTCTCCACTGAAGGCCTCAGTTACTCACAATCTCTGTTATGAAATGTTTGTAGGTTGGGAGGCAAACCCCTTTCACCAAATGACACAAATTTGGAAGATCCCAGGTCCTCAATTTTTTAAGGGTGGTGCAGGCGTGCATATGTTTGGGCAATATCTTCATATTATCGATCCCCAGACTCCAATATGAAATTTTTGCTATCACGTCCCTTTTACATTGGCCAATCTTTCATTGTGCTCCCCAATCCATCCCCTCGGTGTCCTGGAGGAAAGACCGAAAAGATCTTGTAACTTGAAATGCAGAAAACAGGACAATTACAAAATATAATTTTGCATAATATGTATCTTACTTACTTTGTGTTAAGAGCCCTCATCGCAGAGGAAAATTTAAAAGCTTAAGGCATCATATCCATCCCCGCCTCCACTAAAACACTCTGCGGGCAGCTCCTTCAACCTTAGCGACCCTGGATGCAGAGATTAGGTTCTCCAAATCAACCATGATCGGTTGGTGCTTGCTTGCTCAAGAGACCTTAGAGAAAATAAAGTTGGCGTAAACCACATGAACTATTTTTCACCATCAAAGCTTACTAAAGTACTTTATGCATAACTATAATATACGAGGTAGAGTGCTTACTAAAGTACTTTATAGCTATGAAATCGAACAATGGAGTACTGTTCACTTCGTCCACATCTTCACGCGATAGTTCTCGAAGAACAGAGTCAGCTTGGGACGTTTCAATTTTAAAAAACTAGAGTAAAAAGAAGAAGAAAAAAATGAGATAGTACCTAAGAAAAGGTGCACAAAAATCAATTAAAACAAGTTTAGAGCAACATTTGAATCAAATATATGATACAACTAAAGTAAGAATTACCTCTCTAAAAGTTTCACAGAATTTCAAAATATTTCCCACATCCTCGGCAGCTAATGGTGCCCTGATGTAGGGGAAGCTCAAGATCAACCCTTTCCGGTCTCAACGCGGTGTTCCTTGACCCTGTGACACCCTCTTGCAGCCTTGCCCTTGGCATCATTCTCATTCACAGCAGCAGCACCATCTCTGCCGAATTACAAGTTTCCATCAACTAGTCCTGCCTTCCTGGATCGAACTAATTCACAGATTCACTCTGATCAAGGGTGGTCTCCTTCCCTTGTTTGCTAGGTGAATCAACACAGATTGCCCGCCAACACTCGAGACCATAAGCCCTCTTAAACAGAACTAAAACCAACCAACAATATCAATATGCATTCAAAAAGAAATCACTATAATCAACACCACCATCTCTGCCAAATTCAACCACTTAAGTCTCAATATTCCTGGCCCACTCCTTGACTTTATGATGATTTCTCACTACCTTGCCATTGACATCCTGATTATTGCTCATAGCATTGACCTTATTGCTCATAGCAGCAGAACCATCTCTGCTGCCATAAACAAATTTCCATCAGCTCTTCCTGCTCAAGTAACATGATGTACTGACTTCCAACAAGCTCAAGCATGAGGGGCAGTGCTCCAAAAAGCCCAAAGAAACCTGGCTCTCATTTGTCATTTTTGTCATCGTTGTCTCATCGCTGTGTAATGTGCAAAAACATATATGCTGCACCCATTCGAACATGGCAGCAGCAGCAGCAGAATATGAAAAAGAAGGCATGCTGCTTTTATTGAAAAAAAGAAGAGTATATGAGTAAAACATCATTAGAAGGTACCTATCCAATTGAAGGAGAAAATCATATTCATGCCACACTGCAGGAGAACCATTCATGGACAACTAATTGATGGATGTTAAATCGTCGGCCTTTGATAATTCAATATTTAACAGTTCAACAGTTTGCTATCTACATCAGAGAAGCCGACAAACACGTTAGTGACATAATCTTGCCCTGAAAGCATAGTTGAATTTCACTGTTTAAGATTTGACTAATATATAAGCCTAAATGATTAAAGATTAAAAAATTCTACAGATAGATGTAACATATTTACAAAAAAGCCTTAGGAATCATGCCTTCACATTTGTCCTTACTTTCCCCACTTTATCATCGCAATCAATCTCTGAAAGTGGGAACAAAATTTAGACATGATTTTGACATGGAAAGATAGCAATGTGAAAGTTTTAGTGGAGCAGAGTAGTAATCACTTGAGGTGTACCAAGATGCAAATGGATGGAAAAAAAATAATAAAATATTAGGAAAAATTTAGGAAACCAGACCTGAATTTTGGTATTCTTATTCACGTGTTCTTGTACTAAACATATATTTCATCAATTTAATTTGAAAAAATTTGCTGTTTCTTCATCGATACAGAATGCAGATTCCAATTCGTGCGCATTCTTCAATTGGTTTCATTCCATTGTCTCATGAAAAGCATTCCTTTTTCAATACCTTGAAGAAGAAATTTAATACTTAAATTGAAGTGAAGATACTAAATTAATGAGTGATCAAAGAAAACAAGCATATGTCTCAGTGGAACCTAATTAGCACAGCTTCTTCAAATTAAATTCCAGTTTGTTACGCGTTCAAGTTTGACAATCTGGATCTTTTCCTTATCTTAAGATGAATGTGCATTCTATCACACTCAAATCATATCAGCATGAGAAAGGGAAAAAAAACATCATCCAGGGTTACCTCATCGCCCATGCAGGAGAATCATATTCCTTTACACCACACTCCGATATTTAGAAGTTTCGTGATTACGAGATCATTCTCCCACGATATTTCCTAATGTGTACTCATTTGTACTGTCTCACTAAGGAGAGCTTGAACCTATGTACTTGTGTAAACCCTTCACAATTAATGAGAACTCTTCTATTCTGTGGACGTAGCCAATCTGGGTGAACCACGTACATCTTGTGTTTGCTTTCCTATCTCTATCCATTTATATACTTATCCACACTAATGACCGGAGCAATCTAGCGAAGATCACAAAAAAGCGGACCGTTTTCGCTACCTAGGATCTATCTTGCAAGAGAACGGAGAATTAGATGGAGATCTCAACCATAGAATACGAGCTGGATGGATGAAGTGTAAGAGTGCATCCGGCGTGTTGTGTGACCGTCGTAGGCCACTGAAGCTCAAGGGAAAATTTTATAGGACGGCAATAAGGCCAGCGATGTTGTATGGCACAGAATGTTGGGCGGTGAAGCATCAACACGTACACAAAATGGGTGTAGCGGAGATGAGGATGCTTCGTGGGATGTGTGGGCACACGAGAAAGGATAAGATTGGGAATAAGGATATCTGAGGTAAAGTAGAAGTAGCCGAAATTGTAGGAAAGATGAGAGAAAATCAGCTCCGGTGATTTGGACATGTGCAAAGAAGGCCGACTGACGCTCCGGTTCGAAGATGTGACTACGGGACAGAGGTTCAGGGCCGAAGGGGTAGAGGAAGACCTAGGAAAACTTTGGAAGAGACTCTAAGAAAAGACTTAGAGTACTTGGATCTAACGGAGGACATGACACAAAACCGAGCGCAATGGCGTTCTAGGATTCATATAGCCGACCCCACTTAGTGGGAAAAGGCTTTGTTGTTGTTGTTGTTGTTGTTGTTGTTGATCTTTTTCAATTCATTCGATACGACGGCCGAAAATGGAAGAGTGTGAGAAATAAAATGGGGTGTGTGGATATCACACCCCAAAAAATAATATACGAATTATATGTGGGAGGTTCACCGCTAAATATCACTGAGCTCTTTTGCGATAAAATTTACACCTAGTAATAGATGGTAGGCAACACCTAGTAATGATGAACTCCACACCTCGTAATGATAGGCCTAAAAAGTGTCATGGTATTACTGTCAGAGCATGTTATTCTTCTGACACGAAAAGTCGTGTATGCTCCGGCATAATAAATGAGTTATTGGTTTTGTTATCCCATCCCTAGGAAATAAATGGAAGTGTTACATACTATGCTATGCAAGTCTTAAATCATTAAGGAAGGTAACTAACCATCAACTTCTATATCATGAGGTCAACAACATATGATTCAAAACCAGTCTCCCTAGCATTTTTCATAAATTTTTAGTTTTACATGCTAGTGGAATACGTGTAACATGAGTAAAAGTGAAAAGATTAAAATGAGAAGGTAAGTGAGAAGTTGCAAGCACTCCCCTTCGTATTTAATCAAAGCTCAATAATAATGTCATATCCTAACACAGGTCAACTGAAACAATTATTCTATGAAGAAACTCCAAGCAAGTGATGAGTGCAAAGCCCAGTGTCCTCCTAGTGCACCAAATAACGGGCTTCGTATTATTAGTCATATCCGGTGCTGATTCATGGGCAGCAACATACATCTGAGTAGGGGATTGCGACAAAGCGACCCAATTTCTCGCTTCATGTTTTTACCTTGTGCAGTATCCATGACCAGGATGATGTATCCTTCCCGGGGGAAATCTGTAGCCCCAACAGCAAGCTACGCAGCCTAGTTTAGTAAACGTAATGTACGAGTATTCAAGCAAGCACAGGCATGAGGCAGCACGCAACGAACCCACACTCTTCAACGTATCCGCGCTGTGTCTACCTGAAGATTAAAGTGAAAGCGAAGGATGAGAAAATCATGCTGCCGTATTCAAATCACACCAGTATGTGAAAACCATCGTCCTCGGGTTGGGTGGGGTTACCTTTTTTGATGCAGGAGAATCATATTCATGCCGGATAGGCAGAGCCACAGAGTGCACACAAGTAAGTCACTCCCATCACAAACTGTCCAGGCCGTCCACTTCCTCCACGCGATAGTCCTCGAATAACAGATTCAGCTTGGGACTTACCAATTTTAGTAAACTAGAGTAAAATTTCAAGTGAATTGGAAGTTCAATGTTTTAGCACCCAAAAAAAGGGTGTACAAAATCAATTAAAACAAGTTTAGAGCAACATTTTTAATCAAATATATAATAGAACAAAAGTAAGAATTACCTCTCTAAATGTTTCACTGAATAAAAATTGGAGAGCATTTCCTACATCCTCAGCAGCTAATGGTGCCCTGAGGTAGGGGAAGCTCAAGATCAACCTCTGCTCTCCATGCGGCATTCCTTGACCTTGCGACACCCTCTTGCAGTCTTGCCCTTGCTCCTTCACTTGGCATCATTCCTTGATCCTGCGACACCATCTCTGCTGCATTACAAGTTTCCATCAACTTGTGCTGCTTTGCTGTGTCCCGAGTACTTCACATCTTCGCTCTGATCAAGGGCGTTCTCCTTCCCTCGTTTGCTAGGTGAAGCAACACACATTGCCTGCCAAAACTCGAGACCATAAGCCTTCTTAAACAGAACTAAAACCAACCAACAACAACATCAATATGCATTCACAAAGAAAAAAAACTAGAATCAACAGCACCACCATCTCTGCTGCCAAAATCAACCTCTTGAGTCTCAATATTCCCGGGCCATTCCTTGACTTTTACGATGCTTTCTGACAGCCTTGGCATTGACATCCTTATTGCTCACAGCAGCAGCACCATCTCTGCCGCCATTACAAATTTCCATCAACTCTTCCTGCTTTGTTTTCATAGTTTCCTGCTCATCAGACGCATCCAAGTTCATATCTTTGCTCCCACCAAGAGACTTCTCCTTCCCTCGCTTTCTTGGTGAACCCACTTGAACGTCACTAAAACCTTGCATGAATCCATACGTTTTTTGCGGCAAACCATCCTTGCGTTCGACATCCATCTCCCCTTGTTTCTTCGGCTTGAACAACTCGAAGGGATTGCTCATATTTTATTAGATTCCAATTGTAGTCGCATGTCACCTCACATATAGAAAACATACCTTTTTGTCCTGATACAACTCCAGGGATAGCTCATAACATCCTCAATGGTAGAGCAAAATGCTGTAATCCATCAGTTCCTTTGGATCGTTTCATAGGCTGTGACAATAGGAACAATGTCCGATTAACACCGTTTTCTTTAAGGAGAGTATGTGGACATTCCAACAAAAACTCATGGAGGGTATGTGCACAGTTAATGCAGTGAAAGAAGACACAGCTTTACCTTCAGATCGATGCATTCTCCCACTTCATTTCCACATCAAGTTGTGAAAATCCTGTTTCTTCTCATATCTGTTTCTATAGGATGCCAACACAAGTGCTTTTCTTTTTCATACCCCAGCTCAACATGTATGAATACTGCTAAATTCAAATATGTTGAAATTATAAACGATCGAATTGATCTTGGAAAACAAGCAAATGGTTCTTAAAATCAAACCTAACTGGTGCAGTTTCTTAAATAATTCCAACTAATAAACAGATTGAATTAGCATCAACTTATACATGAGCTATTCATTATGTTACGTCACAGTCAACAAGTGGACTTTTTCTTTATATTGATGAATATAATCAGCGTGTCCCTGACTACACCGTCTCTCTTTATCTCAATTAGAAAGGAAAAAAAAGTTGTTATTTATGAACTTTTCAGAAACAATTCTGGAGAAACAAAAGTGAAATGGAACTCAAACTTTTTTATCTGCAGTGTTCAACATAAGAAATATCATTCCTGTGAAATGTATAGCGCAACAACCACCCACCTGCTCTAGTAACATAATGGACAGAATTCCAAGGAGGGCAAGCATGAGGGTGGTGCTCCACAGAAACCTGGCTCTCATATTGTTTTGTGGGCATCGTCACCCGTTCTCACTTCAACAGAGCTGTGTATGCGCAAAAACATATCTGCACCCACCCGAAGATGGCAGCAACATGAAGAGAAGATGAAAAGGAATGCTGATTGTATTGAAAATAAAGCAATATATGAGTAAAATCATTCGTGGGGTTACCTATCCAATTGAAGGAGAATCATATTCATGCCACACTGCAGGACAACCATTCGTGGACAGCTAATTGATGGACGTTAAAATCATTGGCCTTAGATAATCCTATCTTTACAGTTCCACAGTTTGCTATCTGCATCAGCAAAGCCGACGAACACGATAGTGACATAATTTTGCCCTGAAAGCATAGTTGAATTTCACTGTTAACATTTGACTAGTGTACAAGCCTAAATGATTAAAGACAAATTCTACAGATAAGGTGCAACATATTTACAGAGGCATTAGGAATAATGCCTTCACATTCTTCCCCACTTTTCCCATTTATCATCCCAATCAAACTCTGAAAGTGGGAACAAAATTTTGGAACCAGTTTTCCTGAATTGCTTATTCCTAAAATATTGAGCAAACAACTCCTGTAGAGAGATTCAAATTTAACTTGTGATGAAAGAAAAATATATCAAAGTCCAAGCATAAGAGGCAAAGAAAAGATTGCGTGGAGTTTTTCCTTCATGTGGTTTAGCCCACTTCCGTTCATCATCAAATTGAAAAAATGTTTGTTTCTTCTCATTGATATTGAATGCAAATGTCAACTTGAGCGCATTCCTTTTTCATACCTTGTCTCAGAAAGATGCCTTAAATTCAAAGTTGAAGATACTATAAATTAATGAGTGATCTAAGAAAACAAGCATATGTCTTAGTGGAACCTAATAAGCACTTCAAATTAATTCCAGTTGTTAAGCATTCAAGTTTGACAATCTGAATCTTTTCCTTATGCATTCTACCACACTCAAATCACATCAGTATTAGAAAGGGAAAAAAAACATCATGCAGGGTTACCTCATCGCCCATGCAGGAATATCACATTCATGATGACAGATAACCATAGCACGATTCGACGACTAGTAATTCATTTAAGCAAACACGTGTTGCTTTTGGATGATTGTCCTGAAATATAAAGAAGCATATTTTTTAAAGGGTAGTATAGTTGAATTAAACAATTAGAAACTCACAGTATAGATGACAGTAACCAATTGAAGAGACACTTTCACAGAATCTGAATCTTGGCTATGGAATGAAATCTGTTGCTACAACAGCAAGCCACCTAGTCTAGTAAACGTAATGTACAGGTATTCAAGCCAGCTCTATACATTACTAGCAAGCACAGCCATGAGGCAACACGCAACGAACCCACACACTCTTCAACACATCCGTGCTGTGTCCACCTGAAGATTAAAGTTTAATTGAAAGATGAGAAAATCATGCCGCCATGTTCAAACCACACCAGCATGTGAAAACCATCATACTCAGTTGGGGTTACCTTTTCCGATGCAGGAGAATCATGTTCATGCCGGATGGGCAGAGGCAGAGCCACTGAGTGGCATTCAAGGACTACAACTTGTCGTAATTTTGGTTTCCTCAGATAATCATGTCTTTCCATTTCCACAGAACGCACATAAATAAGTCACTCCCATCACATTCTCCTGAAAATTTCAAGAAACATTTTTTTTAAAGGACAAAGAAACAGAACAAGAAAGCGATGCAGTATGCTGGGCCTAAACAATGCAATAGAAATTTCTGCAGATACATGTGACAAATTTTACTCCTCTGCCCTGTTCCTTTTATTTTAGTAATTGAACTCTGAAACTTTGAAAAGAATTCAGCGGGATCATCCACTCTCTCTTTAAATCTTAGATAGGGGATGAAACAGGATACTACTCTGCTTTACATCATTGAAGTTATGAACCAGCACCATTTATGTATATATATATTGTGCAACAAAAAACATGGCGAAACAACTAAAAATGGTTAACCTTAAAAATGAAAGAAAAATCTCTATGTAGATTTTATGTAGAAAAGTTGAGACAATCAATATAACAAATAAAAATAAAGTACCAGACATTTGAGAGTTGAGAGTGAAATGAGAAGCAAAAGTTTTGGTGTGAGAGAGAGAGAGAGAGAGAGAATATCATGATGACTTTGTCATCTATCTTTATGCAAGGAATATGAACTAGCTTTCTCCATTCTTTTCCCTTCTTGTTCTCATACCTCATCTTCAGAGAGGGGCATGTGGTCATGTTCAGGAAAGAAACAGATGCCGGAAAACCCTGTTTTGGCAGGAAGTCGAGACTGTCACACCTTCCAATATATAGCTTTTGAAGAGAAGTGAGGTGTTGGAAGTCCATTTCTGTCCAAAGATTTCAGACTTGATAGATAAGAGATTGCAAGAGTGTGAAGAGGGGTAAGAAGCAGCTGTTCCTTGAGCAACGTCTCCAACACATCCTCGCTGCTGATCTGAAATCTTCGAAGGGAGAAGTCGTTGCAAACCCCAGTTCTCCACTGAAGGCCTCAGTTTCTCGCAATCTCTGTTATGAAATGTTTGTAGGTTGGGAGGCAAACCCCTTTCACCAAATGACACAAGATTTGGAAGATCCCAGGTGCTCAATTATAGAAGGGTGGTGCGGGTGTGCATATGTTTGGGCAATACTTCATATTAGATATGAAATTTTTGCTATCGCGTCGCTTTTACGTTGACCAATCTTTCATTTTGCTCACCAATCCATCCCCTCGGTGTCCTGGAGGAAAGACCAAAAAGATCTTGTAACTTGAAATGCAGAAACAGGACAATTACAAAATTATAATTTGCATAATATGTATCTTCTACTTACTTTGTGTTAAGAGCCTCATCACAGAGGAAATTTAAAAGCTTAAGGCATCATATCCATCCCCGCCTCCACTAAAACACTCTGCAGGCAGCTCCTTCAACCTTAGCAACCCTGGACGCAGAGATCAGGTTCTCCAAATCTTGGAACCATGAGCAGTTGGTGCTTGCTTGCTCTAGAGACCTAAGAGAAAATAAAGTTGGCGTAAACCACATGAACTATTTTCACCATCAAAGCTTACTAAAGTACTTTATGCATAACTATAATATACTAGGTAGAGTGCTTACTAAAGTACTTTATAGCTATGAAATCAAACAATAGAGTACTGTTCACTTCGTCCACTTCCTCCACACGATAGTTCTCGAAGAACAGATTCAGCTTGGGACTTTTCAATTTAAAAAAAAAATAGAGTAAAAAGAAGAAGGAAAAAGAAAAAAAAAAAAAAAAAAAAGAGATGGCACCTAAGAAAAGGTGCACAAAATCAATTAAAACAAGTTTAGAGCAACATTTTAATCAAATATATAATACAACAAAAGTAAGAATTACCTCTCTAAGGGTTTCACAGAATTTCAAAATATTTCCCACATCCTCGGCAGCTAATGGTGGGAAGCTCAGGATCAACCTCTCTGGTCTCAACGCGGTGTTCCTTGACCCTGCGACACCCTCTTGCAGCCTTGCCCTTGGCATCATTCTCATTCACAACAGCACCACCATGTCTGCTGCATTACAAATTTCCATCAACTCGTCCTGCTTTCCTGGATCGAAGTAATTCACAGATTCGCTCTGACCAAGGGTGGTCTCCTTCCCTTGTTTGCTAGGTGAATCAACACAGATTGCCACCGCCAACACTCGAGACCATAAGCCCTCTTAAACAGAACTAAAACCAACCAACAACAATATCAATATGCATTGACAAAGAAATAACTATAATCAACAGCACCCCCGTCTCTGCCAAATTCAACCACTTAAGTCTCAATATTCCTGGCCCACTCCTTGACTTTACGATGCTTTCTCACTGCCTTGCCATTGACATCCTTATTGCTCATAGCAGCAGCACCATCTCTGCTGCCATAACAATTGAAGGAGAACCATATTCATGCCACAGTGCAGGAGAACCATTCATGGACAACTAATTGATCGACGTTAAAAACGTTGGCCTTTGATAATCCAATCTTTACAGTTCATCAGTTTGCTATCTGCATCAGAAAAGCCGACAAACACATTAGTGACATAATTTTACCCTGAAGGCATAGTTGAATTTCACTGTTAAGATTTGACTAATATATAAACCTACATGATTAAAGAAAAATTCTACAGATAGATGTAACATATTTACAAAAGCCTTAGGAATAGTGCCTTCACATTTGTCCCTACTTTTCCCATTTTATCACCGCAATCAAACTCTGAAAGTGGGAACAAAATTTAGACATGATTTGACAAGGAAAGATAGCAATGTGAAAGTTTTAGTGGGAGCAGAGTAGTAATAACTTGAGGTGTACCAAGATGCAAAATAATAAGAAAATTTAGGAACCAGTTTTCCTGAATTTCTTATTCCTAAAATATTGAGTAAACAACTCTAGTAGAGAAATGCAAATTTTACTTGTGATGGAAAAAAAATATACATATATATCAAAGTCCTTCACAAAAATTGTTTGTTTCTTCTCATCGATAATGAATGCAGATGTCAACTCAAGCGCATTCCTTTTTCATACCTTGTCTCAGAAAGATACCTTAAATTCAAAGTTGAAGATACTATAAATTAATGAGTGATCAAAGAAAACAAGCATATGTCTCAGTGGAACCTAATTAGCACAGCTTCTTCAAATTAAATTCCAGTTTGTTACGCATTCAAGTTTGACAATCTGGATCTTTTCCTTATCTTAAGATGAATGTGCATTATACCACACTCAAATCATATCAGTATGAGAAAGGGAAAAAAAACATCATCCAGGGTTACCTCCTCGCCCATGCAGGAGAATCATATTCTTTACAGATAGCCATGGCACGATTCAACAACTGGTAATTTATGTAAGCAAACACACGTTGCCCTTGGATGATATTGTCCTGAAATTTAAAGGACCACGGTTTTGTTAGAGTAGCGTAGTTGAATTAAACATTTAAAAACTGACTGATTCATTGATTAATTAAACAGAGTATACGTATAGATGACTGTAAACGATTGAAGAGAAACTTCTACAGAATCTGAATCTTGGCTATGGAACGAAAATGGTGGTATGTACGTACCTGACTATGACTTGAGCCTCAAATGATGACTTGATCATCTATCTTGATGCAAGGAATGTGAGCTATCTTGCTCCACTCTTGTCCCGTCTTCTTCTGACACCTCTTCTCCAGGGAAGAACACTTTAGGATGCTCAGAAAAGAGAGCGATGCTGGCAAACCCTCTTTTGGCAGGAATTCGAGACTATCACAGTACCAAATTTCGAGCTCTTGAAGAGAAGTGAGGTATTGAAGTCCCTTTCCCTCCAAAGATTTCAGACTTTCCATTCCAGAGATTACGAGAGTGTGAAGAGTGGTAGGGAGCAGCTGTTCCTTGAGCACCGTCTCCAACAGATCCTCCCTCCTAGAGATACAAAATGTTCGAAGGGAGACAAGTCGTTGCAAACCCCAGTACTCCACCGAAGGCCTCAGTTTCTCACAACCACTGATTGTAAAGGATTGTAGGTTGGGAGGCAAACCCCCTTCTGCAAATGACTCAACATTTCGAAGACCGACTATCCGCAACTCTTGAAGGGTGGTGAGGGTGTGTATTCGGCCGGGCAATAACTTCAAATTCTCGCATTCCTGGACTGTAAATCCAGCCAGTTTGGGAGTGCGCAATCCCCCGTGGGGAAAAGAGACCAGATTTGGACACGTAGAGATAAGGAGACGGTCGAGATGAGTGAGATTTTCATCATCAGCTCCTTCTCCAATGGCAAGGGATTCTAGATTTTTACTGCCCCAGATCAGAAGAAATGAAAGTTTGGGGAAAACGCCCAGCGGGAAGGACCTCAGTGAATCACAGCTGTCCATCAATTCCAAATATCGAAGGGATGTCAATTTGGCCATCATCTCATGAGATAGGAATTCTAATCTCCTGCATTCTTTTATTTCAAGAGATGTCAACGAAGTGGGTAGACCATTTCTCGGGAACGACAAGAGTGACTCGCAGTTAACGAGACTCAATCTTTGAAGACAGCTGCTGAAGTGCGGCTGCAAGCAATCTGTGCGACTAAAAAATTGAACCCCAAGCCTCCGAAGCGAGCACAGCGACTCCGTCTCCAGTAGCGAAGAGAGACCAGGGCATCTAACTATGTTCAGTTTTTCAAGAGATTGTCGCAAGGACTCCGTGTTGACGATGAGAGACCAAGGTATCCATCTTGTTCTGGTAGCCCTTTCATGTAGAACCCCGCAGTCGGACACCCAAAGCTCTTTCAATGAAGGAAGATGGTCGGGCAAGTTTCCCTTCAGCTTTGGACAATTCCCTAAAATGAGCACCTCAAGACGAGGAAAGTCTGGAGATTGACCTCTACCTGGACTCGACAGCCATTCCTCCCACTCCGGCATCTCTTTGAACCATAGGCACTTGAGAGATTGAAATGGTTGACTTAGAGAAGCTCCATTACCCCCGTAGAACTCAACACCAATACTCATGACAAATTTCATCCTTTCTATATAGAGCTCTTCGAGAGTGGGAAGCTGCCCAACCGGTGGCAATGACAAGCAAGTACTACAATCACTGAGATGCATGACTTTTATGTTGGAGAAGGAAGAGTCTCCCAACCAATCCGGAAAACTGGTTCCACCATAAAATTTGATGGTCAGCTTCACCACATTTACGGAAGGTTGTAGACTTTCAAGTACATGTCTCTCTTTTATGGAATCATTTGCATCCTCACAACCCCATGCCAACTCTACTTCGTTGACATCGTTCTTATCCTTCAAATTGGCCCCCAAGGCATCCATAGGATTGACAACATTTTGCAGATTCAAGATAGATAGTTTTCCTCGAAGGTTCGACAATTGCCCCAGTTCACCAATGCCACCCGACCTAGTAGATTCCCCCAACACAAAAGCAGTCAATGTTCTCAAACTTTTTAGTCTACCCATTTGCACCGGCATATCTTTTATACAAGTTCCACTAATATCAAGATGACGCAAATTAATCAATTTCCTCATGTCTGCAGGCAATTCAACAAGAGAGGAACAACCGACTAACAATAGAGTTTGCAAATTGTAGAGAGTGCACATCGTATCTGGTAACTTTTTAACTGCAGTGTAAGAGAGATCAATGTAGTGCAAGTTTAAATGTTTACCAATGTAATCAGGTAATAGAGTGATATTTTTATATCTTGACAGCGACAACACTCGTAAACATTTTAGTGCTGGTAATAAATCATCTAGAACCTTTATGCTTACATATAGGCTCCCCCATTGATGGTATGGTCTTAAAGACATGGGAAATAAGGTGCGCAAACACTTAATTTCATCCAATGGCTTAAATCTTGCAGCAGTATCAAATCTTCCTCTCATATATGACAAATGCCGAACTCTTTTAGGAACTTCATGCGACTCTCCCTCATCCAACCAAAAACAAAATTCTCCAGACACAGATCTAGCCAAATCATTAATGAGATCATGCATTGTGAAACTTGATGATTTCCAAATGAATGATCTTTGAAGTAGTGATCGTGACAATAGTTCATCAATGTATCTCTCACCGAGCTCTTCCAATCCTTTACCGTTCTCATCTTGTGGAATTAAACCCACTGCCATCCAAAGTAGAATTATATTTTTCTTTTCAAATTCGTAGTCCTTTGGGAAAATTGAGAGATAAGCAAAGCATTGTTTTAAATAAGTAGGGAGATAATGATAACTCAATCTTAAAGATGGAAGAACACTTTTATCAGTATGCAATATCTCCCAAAGATTGCTATTCAATATGGGACTCCACTCTCTGTAACCTACATTACAACCTAAGAGACCCCCAAGTGCTTTTGCAGCTAAAGGAAGACCGTTGCACTTGCGTGCAATTTTCTTACCAATTTTTTCCAAGTGTGGATGCGCACTAGGCTTTTCATTTCTAAATGCATGTTTTGCGAGTAACAACCAACAATCTTCATGTGACAATTGTTCCAAAGAGTGAATAGGACCGGTATGCACAATGGATGCGACACTTTTGTTCCTTGTTGTCACTATGACCTTACTTCCCCTCGCCCCATAAGTAAAAGGAGCCCGTACAAGATCCCAATCACTATAGTTATCATTCCAAAGGTCATCCAACACAAATAGGAACTTTTTCTCCCTCACTTGTTCCCTAAGTTCAACTTGAAGCAAGCTATCTTGAAGACTGCAAGGTTTTGAGATAATTGATTCAATAAGGGTTTTAGTTACCCTCATAGCATCAAAATCATCGGAAACACAGGCCCAAGCTGTAACATCAAAATGCTCTTTTATATTTTTATCATTGTAAAGGAGCTGAGCAAGGGTTGTCTTACCAACCCCACCCATTCCCACTATGGGGATTACTGATATGTGGCTGCTACTTGCATCATCCAATAGCAACATTCTCTTCAACTTCTTTTTATCTCCATCCCTACCACAAGCACTAAAGTCATGCTCAACAAAGGATGTTGTGGGAGTTTTTTGAGAAACCTTCTCCTTAACGCCTCCTATAAGACCAAGGAGATCCTTTTGTTTCGCAAGATGTTCCAACCTTTGGAATAACTCTTGTATCCTACCATTCATGCCTTGACAAAAAGGATTAAAAGAAGTAGAGAGGAAGTTCCACACCTGGGACGTCTTTTTGGTTTGATATTCATCAGCTTCCACCTTGCTTCGCAAAACTTCAGTATCGATCTCAGCCAGCAGGTCCTCGGCATCGAAGACGGCATGTTTGAGCTCGTCGAGCCACTTTCTCACACTAGGTTTCTCAATTTGCTTCTCTTCTGCATCATCGAGCACTGCATCGAGGGTCAGAAAAGTCAGCTTCAGTTTCTCCAAGAGTGAATGGTCAAGCTTTTTTCCCCGTAAGAAGTCCATGAACTCCCCAGAAGCAATCTTGTCGCACAGCGTCTGAATGGAAGCAGAGAGAAAAGCCTCTCCAATCAAAGCTCCTGCCATTTCTCTCTCTCTTTCTCTGTGTTTTTTTTTTTTTTTTATCTTCAAAGAAGTGTTGAGGTGAGGAAGAAGAAGAGTCTTATTAGCTTAATTTCGTTTCGGAAAGAGACCCCACACGTTAATCAAAGAGTCTTATTACCTATAATTTAAGTGACAATTTCATAGTAGTCGGTTTGGTTGGTGTGAGAGTGCGGGTTGGGTGGCTATTTTTTAGTTATTAACCATAACACCACTTTTGTTTGTTGATAATTTGATATTAAGCCGCGTTGGAATTTTGCTTTTGGGCGGATACAACACAGGATCTTTAAATTGATCACCTAATTAATTAACATTAAAATTGTAATCTTTTGTTGATTATGTTATCATGTCATCATGCATGTGAAAAGAAGTCACACTGACCTGGTTAATTAATATATTGGAGTTATATTACAAGTTGTTAAACTCAAAAATAGATGGGATCTCTTTTTTTTCATCCCTTGCCAGGTCTTATAATTGGCTTGTAAAATAGGAGAGCTTCAACTCGAGTCCAAGCAGGCAACAATACAAAGCCTTTCATCAAAATTTTGTCATCCAAGTGCACCTAGCAATCCCTTCTTCTAGTTGTCCACCCATTTTTCGATTGGTTACCAATTTCTTCTTTTGCAGTATGTCGAGATTAAAATGAATAAAAGTGAATTAAATTAGTATCATGCATCGTACAAAGACATACTCAGAACGATAATTACAATAAAGGATGTTATCAATACTTTGCTTCAACATCAAACAACAAATCTATCGTTGGAAACAAATAACAAGATAATGCATTTACGGATCATATTTTTTTAGAGTTTATTGCCTTCATCGTGAGATGATGACTCCGATTTCTATTAATTTTGAGCAATATAGATATTCTGAATATCTGATGAATGAAAAAAATGGAATGCCAAAAATAGCAATGTACCGAGACTTATAAAACACCAAAGTTTTAAATATGAATATTAAAAAGATACTTATGATAAAAAGAATTTTTGGCATTTTAGCTAAAATGATCCCTAAGATTGATATAACTCATCACTTTTGGTCTCCGAGATTTGAAATTAATAGAGGTGATCCTTGAGTTTGACTACCATCAATCATTTTGTTCATTCTGTAAAAAAAAAAATGTTACATAAGGACCAAAATGACAAAAAAAAAACCCTTAATTTAATAAAATATGGCCCAAAATGATTTTGGCAAAATTAAGATCATTTTTATCATTTTATCCTTATTTAACAGAGATTTTTCGCAGAATAGTCAAAATGGTTGATGGTGAATAAACTCAGCTCAGGACCAATTCTATTAATTTTAAATCTCAAAACTAAATTGAAAAGTTATAACAATCTCAACTTCAACTTCTCCATGAGTGAATGGTAAGTTATTTCTGCCGGAACAAGTCCATAAACTCGTCAGAAGCAATCTTGTCGCACAGCCTCTGGATGGAAGAGGAGAGAAAAACCTCTCCAATCAAAGCTCTTGCCATTTCTCTTCCCCTCTCTCTGGTTTTTTTTTTTTTTTTTGTACTTCAAAGAAGTGTTGAGGTGAGGAGGTGAGGGGGTGAGGAGGTGAGGAGGTGAGGAAGAACAAGAGATGACTTGATACACTTTTGGTCAATAATTGAGTGGACCCCACACGTTAATCATAGAGTCTACTTTTTATTTTTTTAACATATCATAGAGTCTTAACAATTTCCTAATAGTTGGTGTGAGAGTGACAGAGTGGGTTAGTTGGTGTGAGAGTGACAGAGTGGGTTGTGGGAATTGGATAAGGATTATTTGCCCTCCACTTCCGGTGTTCTTCCGTGCCCTCTTGTTTGTGTGGTCACGGTTAAGCCATGTCAACATTTTATATTACTATTTATTTTTGTCTTATTATCTCTATAAAAAAACAATATAAAATATTAATGTGGCTTAACCGTGACTACACAAACCAAGAGGACACCGCAAGTGGAAGGGCAGACAATCCTTGTCCCACTGAAATTCACTCGGACAAGGATTGTCTGCCCTCCCACTTCCGGTGACCTTCCGTGCCCTCCTGTTTTGTGTGGTCACGGTTAAGCCACGTCAACATTTTATATTGATTTTTTATAGAGATAATAAGACAAAAATAAATAGTAATATAAAATGTTGACGTGACTTAACCGTGACCATATAAACAGGAGGGCACAGAAGGGTACCGCAAGTGGAAGGGCAGACAATCCTTGTCCATTTCAGTGGACCTCACACGTTAATCATGCATGTAAGTAGCATCACATTGACTTAGTTAATTAATAGATTGCAATTGGACTATAAAAATAGGAACAATTTTTCTTTATATCCGGAACACGAGTGGTATAGTGCATGTAATTATATAAGTGAATGAAAATTTTATTTTTTAAGTTGTTAATCTTTTAATATAAGTATCCCACAACTTGTATAGTGATACATGATGTACCACTCCGTGTTCTGATCGCACTGAAAAATTCTCTCCAAAATAGAAGGGCTCTCTATTTTTACTCCATTTGCCAGGATATATTTTTCATTGTGATCAACACACGAGTGGTATACCACGTGTTTTATATAAACGATGAGAAATTTTACTTTTTAAGTTATTAACTTTTTAACACACATATCTCACCACTTATATAGTGACAAGTGGTGTATTAACCCGTGTTCTGTCACTAAAAAATCTCTCCCTTGCCAGGTCTATGGGGAGATCAAAGCTTCTACGCCCAAAATGGGCGTGGTCTCTCTGTACCTCAAATTATTGTTTGACACACATTAAGTCTATAAAAACAAAGTTAAAAAAAAAAATAAGTTTACAAACAAATATCAGTCAATAATTGGAGCCAAAGAGAGACTACACTCATCTTAGATACAGAAAATTTGATCACGTTCTAGAGATGTCAATGGGTTGTAAAAGGAGTATGATATTCACACACTTTTTTTTACTTCTCACATACCTTTTATTAATTTATGTCATTTGATTTCCTTCAATTCATCCAATCTGACAACCTAAAATTAAGAAAACATGTGATAAGTAAAAAGAAGTGTATAAACAGTATATTCCGCCGTAATAGGGGAACTTCAACTCGATTCTAAGCAGGCAACAAAACATTGTCTTTCATCAAAATTTTGTCCTCGAAGTGCGCACCCTAGCAATCCCTTCTGGTTGTCCACCCATGACCCATCCTTTTCAATTGGGACAAGGATTGTCTGCCCTCCCACTTCAGGTGCCCTCCCGTGCTCTCCTGTTTGTGTGGTCACGGTTAAGTTATGTCAACATTTTATATTACTATTCATTTTTGTCTTATTATCTCTATAAAAAATAATATAAAATATTGACGTGGCTTAACCGTGACCACACAAAACAGGAGAGCACGAGAGGGCACCGGAAGTGGGAGGGCAGACAACCCTTGTCCTTTCAATTGGTTACTAATTTCCTCTTTTGCAGCCCGTTGAGATTAAAATGAATAAAAATGAATTAAATTAGTATCACTTGTCATATATATGTGTTCACGCTCAGAATGATAATTACAACGAGCAAAATAATATGCGTCAACCTCAAACAACAAACATATCATTAAGAATAAACAGCAAGATCTTGCATCTATGAATCATAATTTTTAGAGTTTACTACCTTCTTCGTGAGATGACTCCAAGTTCTATTAATTTTGAGCAACATAGATATTATGATGGATGAAAAAAATGAAGGCTTTAATGTTCCGTGACTTATGAAACACCCAACTTTAAACATGAAAATCTGAAAGATATTTCTCTAAAAACAATTTAATTTAAAGAAAACTTAGAAGGCCTCACTATAAACATAAACGATCTGGGAGGGAAGAAACATTCGGGAAGAGGGAGAGCGAGTTTAGAGATGTGGTTTTGTGGCGCTTGGTACTTGGAGTGAGACGGAACAGGTTCATCTCACATTTGGTGCGACAAAAAAAACGTAAGACTCACCTATCCTTAGAATGAATTTTAGTTTAATTTTTGTACCACACTCCCTCATGAAAAGTACTTATTCCACTCCATGGAACGAACTTATTTCACCCCTTGAAACACAAAAATACCCCTGCTGTTTTTCAATAATTCTACTACCAAATCATAAAAACAAACCCTAATCTTGTGTCTTTCTTCTTTCCTAGTAGCCTCTCTCTCTCTCCTCGTCTTCTCGGCGGAGAGGCTCCATTCTCTGCTTCGTTCATTACCTCTCTCTTCTCTCGTCGCAGCATCTCAATATCTTCCCGCTTTGATTTAATTGTCAGTTTTTCTGAGTTGGTTGTGATTTTCCTCATTCAATTAACCATGGTTTTTTTATGTGTAGAAGTGGAAAACCCTAGAAATTTATGGGTTTTCACTGAAATTGATTTTCCGTACCACAAGGTTTGTACTGTTTGGGGTTAAGGGTGTAATTTAGAGGTATTCATCCATTTCTGTGTTTATGTTTATGCAACTATTGGCTGGGAAAATGAATCGTTTCTTAATTTTTCCTTCTCATAAGCTTAAGGGAATATGGCTGCTGTGATGAATGTGAAATAATTACCCAGAAATACATTATTACCCAGAAGAACCTAATGAACTTCTTCATTACCAACAAATATTAATATTCATTAAGTGTCATTGTCACAAATATATCATAAAATAAGCAAGGATATGTTGGCCTTTTAATTTTTTTGTTCTTTTCCGCCTGAGCGTAACAAACGCGAAACATAACAATTGACTCATTTCAGCATGTATGTACCAGACGTATATTCGAACCTCTGCTGCATCCTATTTTGTCCCGTCTACACATCAAATGCTACCTTAATTCTTTTTAAATTTGAATTTTTATTTTTTTAATCTTATTTTATTTTCTATGATTTTAAATGCCCATAAACTAACTGAACAGTGGAGCAAAAGTGGAGAGATTTCACCTGAAAATTGTAGTAATGACCTCTCAACTTTAACTCAATTGAAACCAAGGTATTAAATATCGGTAATATAGGAAATATCGGTAGTCCGAAAACACGGAAATATCGACGGAAATATCGATAAAATATCGATATCGATAAAATTACATGTAAACCACGGAAATTGTAAGAAAAACTTGGAAATTTTTATTGAAACTTTGCAGGATGTTTATTTAGTCAATTATCTATTAGTTTATCACAAAAAATTGGAAGGAAATGCATTGCATGATGGATTTAACATTATCAAGTTGATTATATAGCGAGCTGACAAACATTGTGAGTGTAGAAAATATGTAGTAATTAATCATTTATATATGTAGTAATTAATGAAAGAAGTTTAAACACACCATAATCATTTATATATAATGAATTAGTACAATATTTTACACTTTATATATTGCATGGTAAGATACATGAGTGACTTATTCTTATAACGGGTACATATCAATTTTTTTTTATAAAAATTAATGGGTACAAACTTATTCTTATTTTATTTTTTATATATTTGAAATGTTTGAATTGAAAATTAATTAGGAGTTTAATAAGGATGTGAGTATTAAAACTCTAAATAAATTACTAATTTTTGTTATGAAAGTTATGTAACTTACATGTAATTCATTAATGCTAGAGACTTTGATCAAAATATAAAAACTGATAAGATCTTAGTAAATGAACATTAGAAACTAGGGATCGGATACTAATTTTTCTTTATTTTTTTTAAAATAATAATAATTTGGTTAATCACATTTTACATCATCTAGTTTCGAGAAAAAAGAAAACTGTTTGGTCAATTTTGAAAGCCATATCAAAATTTTGAGTGATATTTTTATCCAACGTGTTAATACAAAATCATATAGGCATAGTACATGATTATGTTTTGGTAATCGAAGACGCCAAAATGAGATGAACGGTTCTACTTAGGTAATTATAGGTTTTTAATTACATTGATGATGTAGTAAATATAAGACTGACGTAGAAACGTCACTTCCACCATTTAGACTAAATTGTATGATTGGTTTTCCTTTCATGTTACTAATTTGAATAGAAGCCAAAGCTCTACGATGACGAGTTTTTGTTCATATGTGCTAGTTTGGTTTCCCTCGTTAGCCCACAAATAAATCGAATGATAAAATGTAAAAAGAATATCCAACCAATCTAAAATTTAAAAATACATTAAGTCATATAACTTAAGATATTTTGAATGGTTATATTTAACTTTTTAAAATTAAAAGTAAAAATCATGGTTGGGTGGGTGGTTGAAATTGAAACTTTGAAAAGGTGCAGCATGCTTCCCCATTTCAGCACCACGTGTGTGGTGTGACCTCCCCTCCATCCCGATTCCCCATCCTTCACATCTATCTTATCTCTCAGTCCTCTCTTTCTCTCCACTTTCCAGGCTCTCCCTCTCTCTGCTTCTCTCCCTCAGTTTCTTCTTCTCTGCAACACACGCACAGACCACACACGCACACACCACACACGCAGTCTCTCATTCTCTCCCTCAGTCTCTCCGTCGTCCGTCCATCCTTCTCCCTCAGCCTCGATCTCGATCCTTCTCTCCCTCAGTCTCTCCGTCCGTCTATCCTTCTCCCTCAGCCTCGATCTCGATCCTTCTCCCTCAGTCTCTCCGTCCATCCTTCTCCCTCAGTCTCTCCATCCTTCTTCTTCTCCCTCAGTCTCTCGATCCTTCTCCGGTTCTCCCCCCCCATCAAATCCGAGCGGGTTTTGGGATCCGAAGAAAGGGATTGCTCATTTTCAGGGTCTGAGCGTGGATTGCTCATTTTCGGCTGCCATTGCGACGACGACGGAGGATCCTCGGTGATATTATGGCTAATATCGCGATAATATCGCTAATATCGCGATATTATCGATATTAGCGATATTATCGCGATATTATTACGATACTTAACTGTAAACGTTGAAAATATCGTTATATGAAAATAACGATATTATCGGCGATATTTCGTCGATAATATCGATATTTAAATCCTTGATTGAAACAATGATTATTCAACTAAAAATTCCTAACCATTGGTCACTTTACTTAACAAAACGTGCAACTATGGACATTTTCAACAACTCCGTCAGGACTTTCGTCAAAATGAGACTAAATCAAGGGGCAAATATGAAAAATCAAATGAGAAAAATTACAGCAATGATCCCTCAATTTTAACCCAATTGTAGCAAAGGTTCTTCCAACATGACTTATTTTGACGGAGTTTATAAAAATGATCATAGATGCATGTTTTGATAAGTAAAAATGACTAATGATTATGAATTTTTAGTTACGGAACTATTCCTCCAACTAAATTTAAGTTATATTACTACAATTTCTCTTAGCAGCAATGGGGGTATTTAGCCATAAATAAAAGTATATAATTAAATTTCAAGGGAAAATTCGACAAATAGTTAAAACGAAACTAAAAATCAGAGTTGAAAGTATAACTTCAAACACATTATTTGGTTTTAACGAAAAACAAGTCTAATTGAAGCAAAAGAAATGCATCCCGCCACTAATCACCGCGCCTTCTCTCTCTGTCTATCTCTGAGTTGCCATAGCATCGACCACCCAAGAAAACCGTACGTCTCCAGGTGCCTCACTCCGCATTCAAATGTGAAGCATTACTACGGTTTCATTTCAGCAGGGCGTCTTTGGAGTGTTGCAATTTTCAAAGTATAAACTTTTCCCTTATCATCCCACTTCCCCCATTCTCAAATTTGCCATATTTTCCTTATCTTCAACGCCTTTGTCCTTTTCGCAGAAAGCCCGTCGCCGATTGATTCAATCCGTAGCAGATTTTGGCGCGAAGAAGCTCCATTGATCCCGAATACACAAATGTGTTGGAGCAATGAATAGGGCACCTCATATGAGGCAAGAGTAAGAGGAACAAAGAAATAGCCTTTTTACTTTGCATTATATTCCCGTTGCTTCCATTATTATTTATTCGGAATTCGGGTATGTGCAGTCGTCCCAATCTGGGTCAAGATTTATGTGCCCAGACGCCTGTTAAAGCTAATTTGTTGGAGCATGTCAATGCACTTGATAATTTCTCGTGCCCGCATAGTGTTCTGAGTTCAAATTTTATTTTTTCCTCACCAACACAAAAACCTCTGGCCGAAGAGGCAATGGTTTCCGGGTATGTCGTGGTTATACGTGTTTTGACACAGGACAGAACACAATGGCGTTCTAAGATTCATATAGCCGATCCCACTCAGTGACTTAGATTTTCCAAGTCTCCAACCGAGAAGTTTTCCTCCCTCGGGAAATTAAGGGAACACTACCTCAACCTACATGCTCCACTCACAAAGCTTCAACAAAAGAAAATTCAAAGAACTTAGCGAAGAAGGTTTTGGTGTATTTAACACAATACGTTGAAATGAAGGAAAGCTTATTTATTGATATCCCCGATAAGTTACAAATATGTACATATACTTGAGTCAAAATAAACAAACAAGAGGGAGCCTTCACAAAGGTTGCTTAGGAGAAGTCTCAGCAGTCGGTAGAGCCCCAGAAAGAGAAGGCACCGGAGGAGGATCATTCGGAGCCTCAGTACTGGACAAAACCCTAGAAGGAGGAGGCATCAGAGGTTGATCATTTGGAGCTTCATTACGCGGTACAGCCCTAGAAGACGAAGGCAATAAATGCCTTTGGAACAAACCCACAAATTTCTGATGATCAAGTAAAACCTGACCATCAGATTCCTTCATCTGGTCAAGCTTCCTCTTCATGTTTGTAGCATAGTCATGTGCGAGCCGGTGCAACTGTTTATTCTCATGCTTGAGCCCTCTAATCTCCTGTTTGAGACTCATCACTTCAGCCGCCAATGATTCAACTTGGCGGGTTCGAGCAAATAGGCGTTGGGCCATATTAGACACAGAACCTGCACACTGAACACTGAGAGCCAGAGAATCCTTAACAGCCAACTCATCAGACCGTTTGGAAAGTAGTCTGTTATCTTTAGGAGTGAGAAGGTTCCTGGCCACTACCGCAGCGGTCATATCATTCTTCATCACGGAATCCCCAACGGTAAGAGGACTAGTAGGGGAGACGAAGGATGGGCGCCATATGTTGTCTGGAGAAGGCGGGGCTGCCTCTTCAACAAGGTTCAAGTCAAAACAACGGTCGGAGGGGCCAGACATTTTCAAAGGTGTTGAAGAGAGAAGAGGTCGGACAAATCAAGATCTTAGAAGTGCAAGAATGGAGCTTCTACTGGTGGATATTCAAGTATGCTTTGGAACTTAATGTCAGCCCCTATAAAAATCTGCACTCGACGAAGCTTCAGAAATCGAAGAGGCGCCTGCTCAGAAATCAAAGAGGCGTTTGCTTTCTCAAAAGCTGGGCTGCTCAGAGACCACGAGGGTCGATCTCAGAAATCGAAGAGGCGTTTTCTTTCTCGAAAGCTGGGCTGCTCAAAGACCACGAAGGCCGATCTCAGAAATCGAAGAGGCTTGCTTTCTCAAAAGCTGGGCTGCTCAGAGACCACGAGGGCCGATCTCAGAAATCGAAGAGGCACCTACTTTTCCAGCCTTGCAGCACCTGTCACACGCACACTCAGCTTTGCGGAAATTATGGGCATTCTGTCGAAGATTTCTGGCGAAATAGAAAGCACATGAATCGTACTGTTCAATCACCCACTTCCCACACGCAACAGTAACTCATAGGTACCACAGATAACTTTGCCAAAGTTCTCTGACAAAGTTGAGACACGTGAAGCTTGCAGCTCCCGCTACATCGCTCTGACCAAGAAGGGTAAAAGAATTGCAAAGAAACAACACTAACAAAGTTTAGACACATAAATTTTGAAGGTCTAGCTACCATATTATTACCCACAAGGGTAAAGGAACAGTACCACTGCTGGATAATTGGAAAGTCCCGGTGTGTCAACCTCTGTGCTTCGTGGCAAGGTAGACTAGCAAACATGCCCAACCTTTACTCACATTCGAGAAAACACTCCCAACAGGATTGCTTGCTCCAAAATCGAAGAGGCACCGCCCTCCGAATCTCGAGAGCCAGACTCCCAACATGATTACTTTCTCAAAAATCGAAGAGAGGGTAAAAGAACAGTACCACTGCTGGATAATTGGAAAGTCCCTGTGTGTCAACCTTTGTGCTTCGTGGCAAGGTAGACTAGCAAACATGCCCAACCTTTACTCACATTCGAGAAAACACTCCCAACAAGATTGCTTGCTCCAAAATCGAAGAGGCACCGCCCTCCGAATCTCGAGAGCCAGACTCCCAACATGATTACTTTCTCAAAAATTGAAGAGAGGGTAAAGGAACAGTACCACTGCTGGATAATTGGAAAGTCCCTGTGTGTCAATCTCTGTGCTTCGTGGCAAGGTAGACTAGCAAACATGCCCAACCTTTACTCACATTCGAGAAAACACTCCCAATAAGATTGCTTGCTCCAAAATCGAAGAGGCACCGCCCTCCGAATCTCGAGAGCTAGACTCCCAACATGATTACTTTCTCAAAAATCGAAGAGACACCGCTCTCCGAATCTCGAGAGCCAGACCCCCAGCAGGATTGCTTTCTCAAAAATCGAAGAGGCATCGTTCTCCGAATCTCGAGAGCCAGATCCCCGACAGGAGTGCTTGTTCGAAAACCGAAGAGGCACCACTTTCCCAACTTCAAGAGCTGGATCTCCTTGGATAAAGCTTGTCTGTAATCTTCACACGCAACATCAGCTTTCCAGATACCACAGACGACTTTTTCAAAGTGCTCTGACAGAGTTAAAACATGTGAAGCTGGCAGCTCCCACTACCGTGCTATAACCAAGCAGGGTAAAGGAATAACATTATTACTTGATGTTAGGGAGACTCCTATATATGTCGACCTCCATCCCTAACGGACAGTCAGACCTGCAAAAATGCTCAACCCTTTCTCTTATCTGAGAGAGCACTCCCAACGAAGCCTTTCGAAATATTCAGCTTTCTTTCCCCCCGATAATACCTCTGTAAACAAGCTATACTAGAGCAAGAATATATCATATCATCAGGGTTAAAAGCAAGAGTATCCCATATCATGCTTTTTCCCTGTCTTTTCCTTTGGCCTTGTTCTTACCTGCAAGACAAGGAGAAAGAGAGCAATCAGTCAGCACTTGGAATCAAGCTTCCAGCCAGGAACTGACTGCCTGGAACCCCTTACCTGATTACTTACCTGGCATTGCTCTCGAGTACTCATCTTCAACATCTTATGCTTCCAGGGAAGATACCGCATCTGCCTGAGGAACAGATAGGGCAAGTGAGAAGGATACAAGGAAGCATGTGGAGACAAGCGTAACAGCACACGTGCCGATACATCCACTACTCTGTCAAAAGCAAAAGTATCCCATATCAGCAGGGTCGAACGTACTCTAGATTTGATGGACTTGTTTTGACCCTCAAATTCCTTAGTCGGCCTTATACTCTGGAGGAAACCAGAAAACCCTCCAGCCCGGTTCAAGAATAAGCATGTGGAAAGTTACTTCTTCAAAAGCAAAAGTATCCCATATCATCTCTTCTCATTTTTCTTCTCTTTATCCTTCATGTTGCCTGCAAGATAGGGAGAATGTGAACAATCAGCCGGAGCTCTGATTGCTTACCTTGTCTGTCACATCTTTCAGCAGATCCCCTAGCCCGGCGACTTGGGGGACTCCTACTACATGGTTTGTATCGCGTTTGACCAAGCCTGAAACTACAAGTAAGCTTCAAGTGAAATTGATACATTACCTTGTGCATCTCCACCAGTTACAGATACCACCCCTGGATGGAGGAAGAGTACTTCCAGAGAAGATGCCACATCTACCTATGAGACAGATAAGGCAAGTCAAGACGATACCACACTCCGGTACTTAGAAGTTTCGTGGTTACGAGATCATTCTCCCACAATATTTCCTAATGTCATTTGTACTAAATCATTCACTTGTACTCACTAAAGGAGAGCTCACTAAAGGAGAGCTTGAACCTATGTACTTGTGTAAACCCTTCACAATTAATGAGAACTCCTCTATTCCGTGGACGTAGCCAATTTGGGTGAACCACGTACATCTTGTGTTTGCTTTCCTATCTCTATCCATTTATATACTTATCGACATTAATGACCGGAGCAATCTAGCGAAGATCACAAAAAGTGACCGTTTTCGCTACCTAGGATCTATCTTGCAAGAGAACGGAGAATTAGATGGAGATCTCAACCATAGAATACAAGCTGGATGGATGAGGTGTAAGAGTGCATCCGGCGTGTTGTGTGACCGTCGTAGGCCACTGAAGCTCAAGGGAAAATTTTATAGGACGACAATAAGGCCAGCGATGTTGTATGGCACAGAATGTTGGGCGGTGAAGCATCAACACGTACACAAAATGGGTGTAGCGGAGATGAGGATGCTTCGTGGGATGTATGGGCACACGAGAAAGGATAAGATTGGGAATGAGGATATCCGAGGTAAAGTAGGAGTAGCCAAAATTGAAGGAAATATGAGAGAAAATCGGTTCCGGTGGTTCGAACATGTGCAAAGAAGGCCTACTGACGCTCCGGTTCGAAAATGTGACTACGGGACAGAGGTTCAGGGCCGAAGGGGTAGAGGAAGACCTAGGAAAACTTTGGAAGAGACCTTAAGAAAAGACTTGAGTACTTGGATCTAACGGAGGACATGACACAAAACCGAGCGCAATGGCGTTCAAGGATTCATATAGCCGACCCCACTTAGTGGGAAAAGGCTTTGTTGTTGTTGTTGTTGTTGTACTGTTATTTCATTTCATCTTGTGGATTACTTGTTATTTGGTGACAACTTGACATTAGTTTATGTATTTGGTGATTGTGGTCTTTTGCTTGGGTAAGATATAGCTCTTGTGTTTGTGTTATTTACATGATTTATTTTTTGTTTCAGCTAATTTTAAGTTTCATCTACCTTAGCGATCAGGGCCTGTTATGAGATTTTAGGGGTATGGGTCCCTGTGTAAAAGAATCCCACTATAGCGAAGCTAATTTATATGTCTATAGTTGTATTAATGTGGTATCTAAATGGAGTATTATTACTCGTGAGTTATAGTTCAAATCAACAGTAATCATGAACGTAAAACACAATTTAGAGCTAAGCCATCAGAACCAAACTAAGAAACATAAAAGTGATTCCTCTAATACAGATGGAGGCCATTATTCTCTTATTCACATACAAATCCTAAAAAATTTCCCTAAGATGAATTCTTTTTACGGAAACCAAGTTGGTACATATATACATATGCTATCATCATTTAGGAACCCCTTAAGATTGGGGGCCCTGTGCAAGGGCACCTATTGCACATACCCAAGACCACCACTGCAATCCATTCCCAAATATTAATATCTGTCCCAAATATTAATGTAGGCAAAATTCATGCCTCTGCAATCCATTCCCAAGATGAGAATCGTTTCCAGAAAAAAAAAAATGATCTGAATTACATCGGGGTTGTTGAATCTCTTTCTAAAATTTCTTAGTAACGAACTGTTTCAAGTTGCTTTACATATTGAAAAACTCTGCTAGAAGTATTACATCTTGGTTTCTATCCATGAACCCTTTTCTTTGGTTACATTAAGTGCTAAACTCAATATCTGCAGTTCATGGTAGAACATGATATTCGTTTTCTTTTTCCCCTCTCTCCTAGAAATACCGAACAAGCCATCTAAGAAATAGCTATCAACAATTTTATTAATGTAATTTTTTTTACTGGAACTGAAAATAGTCATTGTCACAAATGCTAACGGGTTTATTGTGCTTCAAGAAGCTCCACACATGCATTTCTGAAGTTTTCTATTATAGATAGTACTTGCATTTGTATATGCTAATCTTTGCAACTTCAATACAATTTGACAGTGCCATTTTTTAAGTCGCAAAGGCTGCATCGTTTTGGTTATGTTTGATGGCAATCTCACAGCCGCGATCGCTCCACGCTTTGTTGTTAAGTTTTTGTATCAGTATTGTAGACCTTGTGATGTTCAGATTGCAAGAGAATTCGAGAAGTTTGGCAATCCAAGAGCGTCCCCTGCACAAATAGAAATGGATGCGATCTTGGACCCGCCGACGAGATGAGCAGGTGATGTTATTGCTTTCGACATCTCCTTCTTTTTGTATCTTTTTTAAAAATGTTATTCTTTAGGCTGCTTCAGAGTATCTCTCTTCTAGTTGCCTCATTGTTCATTGTTTGCTATCCGAAGGATAGGATTTGTAACTTTGTAGTGCTAGCCTTATATTTTGTGTTCATCTTTTGTTTTATTGTACCTTAAGATTCATTCGGTGTAATTAGATTTGTTTAAAGAGAAGAATTAGACAATCGATACAATACATGAATTTTACCACATAAGTTTGGATTGTGTTCAGATTGAATCCTTCATACCAACTTGAAGTCGACCAAAAAGTACAGGGGTTTCAAACAGATCCTACATCCTGCCTCAGGTCTCCTCTCGTCTCCTTTCATTCAGCGACTTGGGAGATAAAAAAATAATATACAAATTATGTGGGAGGTTTACCATTAAATATTACTGTGGCATTCTGTGATAAAGTTTACACCAAGTAATAGATGGTTAAGTGAGGACAATATTGGTTAAGTGAGGACAATATCAGTGAATGAATGAGATCATAAGCAACACCTAGTAATGATAGGCCTAAAAAGTGTCATGGTATCACTATCAAAACATGTTATTCTTCTGACACGAAAAGTTGTGTTTGCTCCGGCATAATAAATGAGTTAATGGTTTTGTTATCCCACCCCTAGGAAATAACCAGTAGTGTTACGTACTATGCTATGCAAGTCTTAAATCTTTAAAGAAAGAATTCAACCATCAACTGCCACATCATGCGGTCAACAACATATGGTTCAAAAAACAGCCATAATCGGTAATGTTACGTACTATGTTATGCAAGTCTTAAATCATTAAAGAAAAAATCCAACCATCAACTGTCACATCATGCAGCCAACAACATATGGTTCAAAAACAATCTCCCTAGCATTTTCCTTAAAATTTTAGTTTGTCAACCAAAAAGTGATTAAATTTTTAGTTTTACATGCTAGCGGAATACACGTAACATAAGTAAAACTGAAAAGATTAAAACGTGAAGGTAAGTGAGAAGGTTGTAAGCACTCCCATTTGTATTTAATCAAAGCTCAATAACAATTTCATATCCTAAAACAGGTCTAATGAAACAATTATTCTTTGAAGAACCGCCAAGCAAACGATGAGTGCAGAACCCTGTGTCCTAATGCACCAAACAACGGGCTTCGTACTATTAGTCATATCCTGTACTCTATGCGGCGTGCCAAACGAGACCATGGTGTGCTAATTCATGGAGAGCACCATACATCGGAGTAGGGCATTGCAACAAAGTGACCCAATTTCTCGCTTCATATTTTTACATTGTGCAGTATTCATGACCAGGATGGAGATACATCCTTCCCCGAGGAAATCTGTTGCCACAAACGCAAGCCACGCCACCTAGTCTAGGAAACGTAATGTACAGGTATTCAAGCAAGCACTGCCATGAGGCAGCACGCAACGAACCCACACTCTTCACCGTATCCGCACTGTGTCTACCTGAAGATTAAAGTGAAAGCGAAAGATGAGAAAATCATGCCGCCGTATTCAATCACACCAGTATGTGAAAACCATCATCCTGCGGTGGAGTTACCTTTTCGATGCAGGACAATCATATTCAAGCCGGATAGGCAGAGCCACAGAGCGGAATTCAAGGACTACCACTTGTCGTAATTTTGGTTGCCTCAGATAGCCATGTCTTTACATTTCCACAGAATGCACAGAAATAAGTCACTCCCATCACAAACTGTCCAGGCGTTGTCGGAAGACAGATTCCGCTTGGGAGTTTTCAATTTAAAAAAAACTAGAGTAAAAAGAAACAAGAAAATAAAAAATGAGATTTCGAGTGAATTGGAAGTTCAGGAATGTTTTAGCACCCAAAAAAAGGGTGCACAAAATCAATTAAAGCAAGTTTTGAGCAACCTTTTTAATCAAATATATAATAGAACAAAAGTAGGAATTACCTCTAAAAGTTTCACTGAACTTCAAAAATTGAAGAGCATTTCCCATATCCTCAGCAGCTAATGGTGGCCTGACGTAGGGGAAGCTCAAGATCAACCTCTCTGCTCTCAATGCGGCGTTCCTTGACCCTGCGACACCCTCCTGCAGTCTTGCCCTTGCTCTTGCCCTTGGCATTATTCTTATTCACAGCAGCAGCACCATCTCTGCTGCATTACAAGTTTCCATCAACCCGTCCTGCTTTGCCGCATCCCAGTACTTCACATCATTGCTCTGATCAAGGGCGTTCTCCTTCCCTCGTTTGCTAGGTGAATCAACACACATTGCCTACCAAAACTTGAGACCATAAGCCCTCCTAAACAGAATTAAAACCAACCAAAAACAATATCAATATGCATTCTCAAAGAAAAAACTATAATCAATAGCACCATCTCTGCTGCCAAAATCAACCTCTTGAGTCTCAATAGTCCCGGGCCATTCCTTTACTTTATGATGTTTTCTGAACGCCTTGGCATTGACATCCTTATTGCTCACAGCAGCAGCACCATATCTGCCGCCATTACAAATTTCCATCAACTCTTCCTGCTTTGTTTTCATAGTTTCCGGCTCATCAGATTCAGAGATGCATCCAAGTTCATATCTTTGTTTCCACCAAGAGACTTCTCCTTCCCTCGTTTTCTTGGTGAACCAACACCGGTTACCTATCAAAACTCGAGGGCATAAACCCATGCGATAGCCACAACAGGATTCAACGACTAGTCATTCATTTAAACAAACACGTGTTGCTTTTGGATGATGTTGTTCTGAAATATAAAGAAGCATATTTTTTAAAGGGTAGCGTAGTTGAATTAAACAATTAGAAACTCACAGTATAGATGACAGTAAACAATTGAAGAGACTTTTACAGAATCTGAATCTTGGCTATGGAATGAAATCTGTTGCTACAACAGAAGGCCACCTAGTCTAGTAAACGTAATGTACAGGTATTCAAGCCATCTCTATACATTACCAGAAAGCACAGCCATGAGGCAACACGCAACGAACCCACACACTCTTCACCACATCCGTGCTGTGTCCACCTGAAGATAAAAGTTTAATTGAAAGATGAGGAAATCATGCACCATGTTCAAACCACACCAGCATGTGAAAACCATCATACTCAGGTGGGGTTACCTTTTCCGATGCAGGAGAATCATGTTCATGCCGGATGGGCAGAGGCAGAGCCACTGAGTGGCATTCAAGGACTACAACTTGTCGTAATTTTGGTTTCCTCAGATAATCATGTCTTTCCATTTCTACAGAACGCACATAAATAAGTCACTCCCATCACATTCTCCTAAAAATTTCAAGAAACATTTTTCTTTAAAGGAAAAAGAAAACAGAACAAGAAAGCAAGGCAGTATGCTGGGCCTAAACAATTCAATAGAAATTTCTGCAGATACATGTGACAAATTTTACTCCTCTGCCCTGTTCCTCTTATTTTAGTAATTGAACTCTGAAACTTTGAAAGGAATTCAGCGGGTTCGTCCACTCTCTCTTTAAATCTTAGATTGGCTAAACAACTAAAAATGGTTAACTATAAAAAAGGAAGAAAAATCTATATGTAGATTTTATGTAGAAAAGTTGAGACAATCAATATAACAAATAAAAGATAAAGTACCTGACATTAGAGAGTTGAGAGTGAAATGAGAAGCAAAAGTTTTGGTGTGAGAGAGAGAGAGAGAAAGAGAGAGAGAGAGAGAGAGAGAGATCATATCATGATGACTTTGTCATCTATCTTTATGCAAGGAATATGAGCTATCTTTCTCCATTCTTTTCCCTTCTTGTTCTCATACCTCTTCTTCAGAGAGGGGCATCTGGTGATGTTCGGGAAAGAAATAGATGCCGGAAAACCCTGTTTTGGCAGGAAGTCGAGACTATCACACCTTCCAATATATAGCTTTTGAAGAGAAGAGAGATGTTGAAGTCCATTTATGTCCAAAGATTTCAGACTTGATAGATAAGAGATTGCAAGAGTGTGAAGAGCGGTAAGAAGCAGCTGTTCCTTGAGCAACTTCTTCAACACATCCTCGCTGCTGATCTGAAATCTTTGAAGGGAGACAAGTCGTTGCAAACCCCAGTTCTCCACTGAAGGCCTCAGTTACTCACAATCTCTGTTATGAAATGTTTGTAGGTTGGGAGGCAAACCCCTTTCACCAAATGACACAAATTTTGGAAGATCCCAGGTCCTCAATTTTTAAGGGTGGTGCAGGCGTGCATATGTTTGGGCAATATCTTCATATTATCGATCCCCAGACTCCAATATGAAATTTTTGCTATCACGTCCCTTTTACATTGGCCAATCTTTCATTGTGCTCCCCAATCCATCCCCTCGGTGTCCTGGAGGAAAGACCGAAAAGATCTTGTAACTTGAAATGCAGAAAACAGGACAATTACAAAATTATAATTTGCATAATATGTATCTTCTACTTACTTTGTGTTAAGAGCCTCATCGCAGAGGAAATTTAAAAGCTTAAGGCATCATATCCATCCCCGCCTCCACTAAAACACTCTGCGGGCAGCTCCTTCAACCTTAGCGACCCTGGATGCAGAGATTAGGTTCTCCAAATCTTGGAACCATGATCGGTTGGTGCTTGCTTGCTCAAGAGACCTTAGAGAAAATAAAGTTGGCGTAAACCACATGAACTATTTTCACCATCAAAGCTTACTAAAGTACTTTATGCATAACTATAATATACGAGGTAGAGTGCTTACTAAAGTACTTTATAGCTATGAAATCGAACAATGGAGTACTGTTCACTTCGTCCACATCTTCCACGCGATAGTTCTCGAAGAACAGAGTCAGCTTGGGACGTTTCAATTTTAAAAAACTAGAGTAAAAAGAAGAAGAAAAAAATGAGATAGTACCTAAGAAAAGGTGCACAAAATCAATTAAAACAAGTTTAGAGCAACATTTGAATCAAATATATGATACAACTAAAGTAAGAATTACCTCTCTAAAAGTTTCACAGAATTTCAAAATATTTCCCACATCCTCGGCAGCTAATGGTGCCCTGATGTAGGGGAAGCTCAAGATCAACCTTTCCGGTCTCAACGCGGTGTTCCTTGACCCTGTGACACCCTCTTGCAGCCTTGCCCTTGGCATCATTCTCATTCACAGCAGCAGCACCATCTCTGCCGAATTACAAGTTTCCATCAACTAGTCCTGCCTTCCTGGATCGAACTAATTCACAGATTCACTCTGATCAAGGGTGGTCTCCTTCCCTTGTTTGCTAGGTGAATCAACACAGATTGCCCGCCAACACTCGAGACCATAAGCCCTCTTAAACAGAACTAAAACCAACCAACAACAATATCAATATGCATTCAAAAAGAAATCACTATAATCAACACCACCACCATCTCTGCTGCCAAATTCAACCACTTAAGTCTCAATATTCCTGGCCCACTCCTTGACTTTATGATGATTTCTCACTACCTTGCCATTGACATCCTTATTGCTCATAGCAGCATTGACATCCTTATTGCTCATAGCAGCAGAACCATCTCTGCTGCCATAACAAATTTCCATCAGCTCTTCCTGCTCAAGTAACATGATGTACTGACTTCCAACAAGCTCAAGCATGAGGGCAGTGCTCCAAAGAAACCTGGCTCTCATTTTTGTTTTGTGGTCATCGTCACCCATTCTCACTCCATCAGCTGTGTTTGTGCAAAAACATATCTGCACCCATTCGAACATGGCAGCAGCATGAAGAGAATATGAAAAGGCATGCTGCTTTTATTGAAAAAAAGAAGAGTATATGAGTAAAACATCATTAGAAGGGTTACCTATCCAATTGAAGGAGAATCATATTCATGCCACACTGCAGGAGAACCATTCATGGACAACTAATTGATGGATGTTAAAATCGTTGGCCTTTGATAATTCAATATTTACAGTTCAACAGTTTGCTATCTACATCAGAGAAGCCGACAAACACGTTAGTGACATAATCTTGCCCTGAAAGCATAGTTGAATTTCACTGTTAAGATTTGACTAATATATAAGCCTAAATGATTAAAGAAAAATTCTACAGATAGATGTAACATATTTACAAAAGCCTTAGGAATCATGCCTTCACATTTGTCCTTACTTTCCCCACTTTATCATCGCAATCAATCTCTGAAAGTGGGAACAAAATTTAGACATGATTTGACATGGAAAGATAGCAATGTGAAAGTTTTAGTGGGAGCAGAGTAGTAATCACTTGAGGTGTACCAAGATGCAAAATAATAAGAAAATTTAGGAACCAGTTTTCCTGAATTTCTTATTCCTAAAATATTGAGTAAACAACTCTAGTAAACAAATTCAAATTTTACTTGTGATGGAAAAAAAAAATATATATATATATATATATCAAAGTCCTTCACAAGAATTAGAGGCAAAGAAAAGCTTGTGTGGAGTTTTACCTTCACGTGGTTTCGCCCACTTCCATTCGTCATCAAATTGAAAAATTGCTTGTTTCTTCTCATCGATATTGAATGCAGATGTCAACTCAAGCGCATTCCTTTTTCATACCTTGTCTCAGAAAGATACCTTAAATTCAAAGTTGAAGATACTATAAATTAATGAGTGATCTAAGAAAACAAGCATATATCTCAGTGGAACCTAATTAGCACAGCTTCTTCAAATTAAATTCCAGTTTGTTACGCGTTCAAGTTTGACAATCTGGATCTTTTCCTTATCTTAAGATGAATGTGCATTCTACCACACTCAAATCATATCAGCATGAGAAAGGAAAAAAACATCATCCAGGGTTACCTCATATTCTTGACAGATAGCCATGGCATGATTCGACAACTAGTAATTTATGTAAGCAAACACATGTTGCCCTTGGATGATATTGTCCTGAAATTTAAAGGACCATGTTTTTGTTAGATTACCGTAGTTGAATTAAAAAATTAAAAACTGACTGATTAACTAATTAATTAAACTAAGTAAAAGTATAGATGACAGTAAACAATTGAAGAGAAAGTTTTACAGAATCTGAACATAGTGTTATGCACGTACCAGACTTTGACTTGAGATCTCAAATGATGACTTGATCATCGATCTTGATGAAAGGAATGTGAGCTATCTTGCTCCACTCTTGTCCCGTCTTCTTCTGACACCTCTTCTTCAGGGAAGAACACTTTTCGATGCTCAGAAAAGAGAGCGATGCCGGCAAACCCTCTTTTGGCAGGAATTCGAGACTATCCCACCACCCAATTTTGAGCTCTTGAAGAGAAGTGAGGTGTTGAAGTCCCTTTCCCTCCAAAGATTTCAGGCTTTTCATTTCACCGATTGCGAGAGTGTGAAGAGTGGTAGGGAGCAGCTGTTCCTTGAGCACCGTCTCCAACACATCCTCGCTTCCTGAGCTATCAAATGTTCGAAGGGAGACAATTCGTTGCAAACCCCAGTACTCCACTGAAGGCCTCAGTTTCTCACAACGACTGATTCGAAATGATTGTAGGTTGGGAGGCAAACCCCCTTCTGCAAATGACTCAACATTTGGAAGTTCGTGTAAACTCAGGTCTCGAAGGGCGGTGAGGGTGTGTATTCGGCCGGGCAATAACTTCAAATTCTCGCATCTCTGGACTACAAATCGAGCCAGTTTGGGAGTGGGCAATCCCCCGTGGGGAAAAGAGACCAGATTTGGACAGCAAGAGGTCCAGAGATCGTCGAGATGAGTGAGATTTTCGTCATCAGCTCCTTCTCCAATGGCAAGGGATTCTAGACTTTTACTGCCCCAGATACTAAGATATGAAAGTTTGGGGAAAACGCCCAGCGGGAAGGACCTCAGTGAATCACAGCTGTAGACCAAATCCAAATGTCGAAGGGATGTCAATTTGGCCATCATCTCATGAGATAGGAATTCTAATCTCCTGCATTTTTTTATTTCAAGATATGTCAACGAAGTGGGTAGACCATTTCTCGGGAACGACAAGAGTGACGCGCAGTTAACGAGCCTCAAACTTCCAAGACAGCTGCTGAAGTGCGGCTGCAAGCAATCTGGGCGACTAAAAAATTGAATCTCAAGATTCCAAAGCGAGCACAGCGACTCCGTCTCTAGTAACGAAGAGAGACCAGGGCATCTAACGATCTTCAGTTGTTTAAGAGATTGTCGCAAGGACTCCGTGTTGACGATGAGAGACCAAGGTATCCATCTTGTTCTGGTAGCCCTTTCATGTAGAACCCCGCAGTCTGACACCCGAAGCTTTCTCAATGAAGGAAGATGATCGGGCAAGTTTCCCTTCAGCTTCGGACACTTCCCTAAAATGAGCACCTCAAGACGAGGAAAGTCAGGAGATTGACCTCTACCTGGACTCGACAGCCATTCCTCCCACTCCGGCATCTCTTTGAACTCTAGCTTCTTGAGAGATTGAAATGGTTGACTTAGAGAAGCTCCATTACCCCCGTAGAACTCGACACCAATACTCACGACTAATTTCATCCTTTCTATATAGAGCTCCTTGAGAGCGGGAAGCCGCCCAACCGGTGGCAATGAGAAGCAAGTACCACAATCACTAATACGCATGACTTGTATGTTGGCGAAGGAAGAGTCACCCAACCAATCCGGAAAGCTGGTTCCACCATAAAATTTGATGGTCAGCTTCACCAGATTTGCAGAAGGTTGTAGGCTTTCAAGTACGTGTCTCTCTTTTATGGAATCATTTGCTTCCTCACGACCCCATGCCAACTCTACTTCGTTGAGATCTTTCTTATCCTTCAAATTGGCCCCCAAGGCATCTATAGGATTGACGACATTTTGTAGATTCAAGATAGAGAGGTTTCCTCGAAGGTTCGACAATTGCCCCAATTCACCAATGCCACCCGACCTAGTAGATTCCCCCAACACAAAAGCAGTCAATGTTCTCAAACTTTTTAGTCTACCCATTTGCACCGGCATCTCTTTTATACAAGTTCCACTAATATCAAGATGACGCAAATTAATCAATTTCCTCATGTCTGCAGGCAATTCAACAAGAGAGGAACAACCGACCAACAATAGAGTTTGCAAATTGTAGAGAGTACACATCGTATCTGGTAACTTTTTAACTGCAGTGTGAGAGAGATCAATGTAGCGCAAGTTTAAGTGTTTACCAATGTTATCAGGTAATTGCGTGATATTTTTATATCTTGACAGTGACAACACCCGTAAACATTTTAGGGCTGGTAATAAATCATCTAGAACCTTTATGCTTACATAAAGGCTCTTATCCCACTCATAGTATGGTCTTAAAGACATAGGAAAGAAGGTGCGCAAACACTTAATTTCATCCAATGACTTAAATCTTGCAGCAGTATCAAATCTTCCTCTCATATATGACAAATGCCGAACTTTTTTAGGAACTTCAACATGTGGCTCTCCATCCAACCTACAACAAAATTCTCCAGACACAGACACAGCCAAGTCGTTAATGAGATCATGCATTGTGAAACTTGATTTCCATGATCTTTGAAGTAGTGATCGTGACAATAGTTCATCCAAGTATCTCTCACCAAGCTCTTCCAATCCTTTACCACTCTCATCTTGTGGAATTAAACCCACTGCCATCCAAAGTAGAATTATATATTCCTTTTCTAATTCATAGTCCTTTGGGAAAATTGAGAGATAAGCAAAGCATTGTTTTAAATAAGTAGGGAGATAATGGTAACTCAATCTTAAAGATGGAAGAACACTTTTATCATGCAGTGTCTCCCAAAGATTGTTGTTCAATATGTGACACCACTCCTTGTAACCTACATTACAACCTAAGAGACCCCCAAGTGCTTTTGCAGCTAAAGGAAGACCGTTGCACTTGCGTGCAATTTGCTTACCAATTTCTTCCAAGTCTGGATGCGCACTAGGATTTTCATTTCTAAATGCATGTTTTCTGAGTAACAACCAACAATCTTCATGCGACAATTGTTCCAAATAGTGAATAGGACCGGTATGCACAATGGATGCGACACTTTTGTTCCTTGTTGTCACTATGACCTTACTTCCCCTCGCCCCATAAGTAAAAGGAGCCCGTACAAGATCCCAAGCACTATAGTCGTCATTCCAAAGGTCATCCAACACAAATAGGAACTTTTTCTCCCTCACTTGTTCCCTAAGTTCAACTTGAAGCAAGCTATCTTGAAAAATGCAAGGTTTTGAGATAATTGATTCAATAAGGGTTTTAGTTACCCTCATAGCATCAAAATCTTCGGAAACACAGGCCCAAGCTGTAACATCAAAATGCTCTTTTATATTTTTATCATTGTAAAGGAGCTGAGCAAGGGTTGTCTTACCGACCCCGCCCATTCCCACTATGGGGATTACTGATATGTGGCTGCTACTTGCATCATCCGATAGCAACATCCTCTTCAACTTCTTTTTATCTCCTTCCCTACCACAAGCACTAAAGTCATGCCCAACAAAGGACGTTGTGGGAGTTTTTTGAGAAACCTTCTCCTTAACGCCTCCTTTAAGACCAAGGAGATCTATTTGTTTCGCAAGGTGTTCCACCTTTTGAAACAACTCTTGTATCCTACCATTCATGCCTTGATAAAAAGGATTAAGAGAAGTAGAGAAGAAGTTCCACACCTGGGACGTGGTTTTGGTTTGATATTCCTCTGCTTCCACCCTGCTTTGCAAAGCTTCAGCATCGATCTCAGCCAGCAGGTCCTCGGCATCGAAGACGGCATGTTTGAGCTCGTCAAGCCACTTTTTCACACGAGGTTTCTCAATTTGCTTCTCCTCTGCATCATCGAGCACTGCATCGAGGGCCAGAAAAGTCAGCTTCAGTCTCTCCAAGAGTGAATGGTCAAGCTTTTTTCCCCGGGAGAAGTCCAAGAAGTCGCCAGAAGCAATCTTGTCGCACAACGTCTGAATGGAAGCGGATAGAAAAGCCTCTCCAATCAAAGCTCCTGCCATTTCTCTCTCTCTTTCTCTCTGTTTTTTATTTTTCTCTTCAAAGAAGTGTTGAGGTGTGGAAGAAGAAGAGTCTTATTACCTGTAATTTTATTGTATAAGCTTAATTTCGTTTCGGAAAGAGACGACTTGATGTATTTTGGTCAATTATTCAGTGGACCCCACATGTTAATCATAGAGGCTTACTTGACTGACAATTTCCTGGTAGTTGGCTTGGCTGGTGTGAGAGTGTGGGTTGGCCCCCACACGTTAATCATAGAGGCTTATTTGACTGACAATTTGCTGGTAGTTGGTTTAGCTGGTGTGAGAGTGTCGGTTGGCCGACAATTTTTTAGTAATTAACCATAACAGCCCTTTTGTTTGTTGATAATTTGATATTAGAAGTCGTTTTGGGATTTTGCTCTTGGGCTTCATCACCTAATTAATTAAGGCTAAGATTGGAATCTTATGTTGATTACGTTGGAATTTTACATCACAGGATCTTTAAATTGATCACCTAATTAAATTAAGATTAAAATTGCTATCTTTTGTTGATTATGTTATCATGTCATCATCCATGACCTGGTTAATCAATATATTGGAGTTATATTACAAGTTGTTAAACTCATAAATGGAAGGGATCTCTTTTTTTTTTTTTGTTTCATCCCTTGCCAGGTCTTATAATTTGGTAGGTTCCAACAGCTCCAAGAGATAGAAATGTAGAGAAAGGAAAAATGACAGAGGAATTATAAAAACAGTTTTTCATTCATATCCCAAATGAGAGTCGTAACAGGGATAATATGCCCACATCCGTCACTACAGACAAGAGTGTTAGGTACAAATGCTGAGTCACTATCCTTCTACTGATCCATTACTAGATAAGGACAGGGACGAGAAAGGACTCAAGCTGGGGCGGATAATGCCAGCGGCTAACATCTCGTCAACTTGGTGCTCCAATTCTGTTTTGGGCATGCTCGTATCAATATGGTCGAACATTGATTGGCCCCGTGCCTGGAAGTAAGGGAATTCGATGATCGATCTCGCAATGGGGGGCAAGGATGTTAGTGGCTGGAAAAGACTGTGATATTTAGTGAGGAGGGATTGAATTGGTGCCGGTGGTGGAGTAGGTTGGGGAGATGGGTGAGTAAGGCTTGACAACTGGGAGACAGCACGGAGAGGCTTGCCAGGAATAACCTCAATACCCGTGGACACGAGAGAGCGCAGAACAGGGGAATTAGAGGACCCTACCAATCTGTAATTGGTCCCATGCATAGAGAATTCCATAATTTTGAGCAAAAAATTCCATCCGATGAAACCCAGTGTTTCCAACCAATCCACTCCTAAGACATGTCATAGCCCGTCATCGCAAGAAGGTGAAAGTAATTGGTAAATGTATAGCCTTGAAGGCGCACTGAAACTTGATGAGCCACCCCTTTAGCACGAAAGCAACGACTTGTGGCTACCATTACTGCCTCGGTTCGAGACGGGTCAACGTGCAAGCCCAAACAAGTCGCCACTTGTTGGTTGAGAAAATTTTGATCAGCACCGGAGTCGATGAATACTTGGATTGGTGTTTGGAAAATGAATTTTTCCAAGCGCATCGCATGACCCGAGCACGCTTAGTGGCTGAGATCGCGTTGATGGCGATGGGATGCTCTGGATGTTCCACCACTGTAGGGAGCGGTGGCGCGGGGGCCTTTGTCTCGGGAACAGGGTCCGAACCGTCCTCATCAGCCATTAACAATAGTATGTGGGATTGACGACACCAGTAGCCGGGTCAATACTGGTCATCACAGTTGAAACAGAGTCCCTGCTCTCGACGGGTGCGCATCTCTACCTGGGTGAGCCGTAGGATCAGCTTTGGTGGGTTGGTTGGGGTAATAGGGGGTCGAGATGTAGTGGGTTGGTTAGGTGGGGTGGGTGAGGAGAAAATGGTGGTTTAGAAATGTAGGGGGAGGAACGGAAGGTCCCGAGACTAACCACTAGCCGGCGACCCTGTTTGTGCTCGTAGATGCGAGCTAGTTCAATGACATGTGCTAGAGAAGACGGTCTCTAGGCCACGACATCATCTTGCAGCTCTTCTTTAAGGCAGCCTAAAAACGCTCCCAGTAGTTGGGCGTCGGTCCAGTTCGGAGTGCGGCATGAGAGGCGAATGAACTGGCCAATATACGCCTCCACTGTGGTGGTTTGCGTGATATGCGACAGGGCCATATTAAGGTTCAAATAGTCGACTGGACCAAATCGTTGCAGCAGTAGGGTCATGAAGATGGCCCAAGAGGAGAGGGGAAACCGTATTTTGAACCAACGGAGCCAGTGGGCCGCCTCTCCTCCAAGATGAAGGCCTGCCACTGTGACGTGGCGGTGCTTGGCTATCTCGTGATAGTCTAAAAACTCTTCAACCGTCGCAATCCATCCATAAGGATCGTCGCCAAAGAAACGAGGAAAGTTCGATTTTGAGGTTTTTGTGCCTAGGAAAGGTCGGGGGAAATGGGTTGGGAGGTGTGGATGTAAGACGGGTCGGTGGGGAAGAAATAGGGGTTGGGCTCAGTCGTGGATGGGGGAAGGTAGCGGGAGGTGGAGGGTCGGTTCAGAGCTTGGGTGGTGGTGGATAGCGGTGGGGTGAATGAAAGTGATGAGGGGCTGGCTGTTAGGTGGGATCCCGGAGGTTGGGTTGTTGTGAAGGGTTGGGATGGAGAGAGATACCATGATGGTGGTGGTATGGGTGTATAGATGGCAGAGAAGGGTATGGGTCCAGCGAAATGGGAATTGAGCCAATTGGGATTTAGGGGTTGGGTGGGGAAGGGTTTTTTAGGGCACGAACTTCGTCTAAAATCCAGGGCCGGCCCAGGCCCAGTGCAGGCGGGGCGACCGTCCAGGGCCCAAAAAAATTAGGGGCACCAAAATTATTAGGGTGGTATATTTATATATGTTTTTATAAGAGTATAAATTTATAAAATTTGATTCAAAGACACAGAAATTTAACTAGAAGTGGTGGTTTGTCATTTGAAAATAATAAGGAGGTCTTGAGTTCAAAACACCATGTGTGCTTATTTACTTTCCTTTTTTTACAAATTTCTTTTTATAAGAGTATAAATTTAGAAAATTTGGTTAAACAATCAAGAAGTTTAATTAGAAACAATGATTTTTGTTGTTTAAAATTAACAGGAGGTCCTAAGTTCGAAATGCTATGTGCATGTTTATTCTTTTCAATTTTTACAAATTTTTGTTTGGTTGGTAATTTATTTTTAGTTACTATATAGTAGCTATGTGGGTTGTTATTTTTAAATATTCGTTTTAATTCAAGTATAATCTTCAACAAAGAATAATACGTAGACCAAATTTGCAAATTATATGACATGTCATCAAAATGTTTAATTTAGTGTCCATTCAGTAATAATACATATCAATTAAAGACTCGAAAACATCATTATTTTTTAGTCCCATATTGACAAGGTTAGTAAATAAGAAAAAAACATCTCACGATTTATTCAAAAACACATTCAAAGTTCAGATGGAAAACAAAAATCATCATCTATCTACTTGTAAGCCTGAAGTTTTTTGTTTCCCTCTCTCAATACAAAATAAATTAGTCTTTATGTGTTTCTAAATTATTGAGTTTGAAGTGTTTTTCTAAGTATAATTTTTTCGATATCTTATGTGTGAAAATAAATAATTTTCTTACATGAAGTTAGGGCACTTTTTTTTACGTTGCCCCGGGCCTCAAAAATCTCTGGACCGGCCCTGCTAAAATCGTTTGCTGCAGTTGATCCTGGTGAACTTGGTGGAGCGAGAGATTGGCCATGGAATGCTGCAGGTCGTCGTAGCGAACATTCAACATCGAGATGGAGTCCTGAAATTCGTGAAGCTGGGTGAGTATCTGATGTTGCTGAAACTCATGGTCCAGTTCGTCCTCCGGTACATCCGCCATCATGACGGATGCCTTACTTTTGCCCATGGATGCACACCTGGGCTCTTGATACCAAATGGTAGGTTCCAGCAGCTCTAAGAGATAGAAATGTAGAGAAAGGAAAAATGACAGAAGAATTATAAAAACAGTTTTTCATTCATATCCCAAATGGGAGTTGCAACAGGGATAATATGCCCACATCCGTCGCTACAGACAAAAGTGTTAGGTACAAATGTTGAGTCACTATCCTTCTACTGATCCACTACTAGATAAAGGAATAAACTAAGGAAATGGGTCTAAATGGGAAAAGGGTCTTAACATAATTGGGTTGTATAATACGGGAACTTCAACTCGAGTCCAAGCAGGCAACAATACAATGCCTTTCATAAAAAATTTTCCTCCAGGGGCACCCTGTAATCCCTTCTTCTGGTTGTCCACCCATTTTTCGATTGGTTACCAATTTCTTCTTTGGCCGTCTGTCGAGATTAAAATGAATAAAGGTGAATTAAATTAGTATCGTGCATACGAAGACATGCTCAAAACAATAATTACAAAAAATATGTTATCAGTACCATGTTTCAACATCAAACAACAAATATATTGTTGAAAACAAACAACAAGATAATGCATCTACATATCATATTTTTCAAAGTTCATTGCCTTCCTCGTGAGATGATGACTCCAGTTTCTTTTTTTTTTTTTTTTTTTGAAGCAAGAAAATATATTAAAGGGGAAACCTCTGAGAACAACCGTTTCCTACAGAGTTAAACTGAAGAGCATGAAGAGCAAAGGAAAGAATACAGTTTCTATAAATTTTGAACAATATAGATATTCTGATGAATGAAAAAAATGGAATGCCAAAAAATAGCAATGTTCCGAGACTTATGAAACACCAAAGTTTTAAACATGAAGATCTAAAAGATACTTCTAACAAAAAGAATTTTTTGGCATTTTAGAAAAATAGTCCCTAAGATTTACATAATTCATCACTTTGGTTCATGAGATTTGAAATTAATAGAAACAATCCCTAAATTTGTCTACCATCAATTATTTTGATAATTCTGTGAAACATCTATGTTACATAAGGACCAAAATGACAAAAAAAAACCATTAATTTAATAAAATGTGGCCCAAAATGATTTGACAAAATTAAGAGTACTTTTGTTATTTTATCCTTAAATAACGGAGATTTTTTCACAGAATAGTCAAAATGGTTGATAGTGGATAAACTCAACTTAGGGACCAATTCTATTGATTTTAAATCTCAATTGAATTGAGAAGTTATGACACTTTCAGTTTTAGCTGAGTGAATGGTAAGTTTTTTTTTCCGCCGGAACAAGTCCATGAACTCGTCAGAACAATCTTGTTGCACAGCCACTGGCTGGAAGAGGAGAGAAAAGCCTCTCCAATCAAAGCTCTTGCCATTTTCTCCCCCTCCTTTTTTTTTTTTTTTTTTTGGGTCCTCCAAAGAAAGTGTTGAGGTGAGGAGGTGAGGAGGTGAGGAAGAACAAGAGACGACTTGATACACTTTTGGTCAATATCTGAGTGGACCCCACACGTTAATCATAATCTTTTTTTTTTTTTTTTACATATCATAGTCTTGATCCTTATTAGGGGTGGTTCGGTATGGGATCCCATACCGAAACCCTTGTCCCGATTCCCAAACCGAAATTTTCGGGAATCCCAATTTCAATACCGATCCCAAACCAAAATTTCGGGAATCCCGAAATAGTTTCGGGATTTCGGGACAAATCGGGAATCCCGAAATGGTTTTGGGCTTTTGGGCAAAATTTGACATATTATGTTTTTGGGCTAAAATTCAACCTTTTATATTGAAAATTTGACATATTGGCAGGCCCAATTTGCCAATTTGTTTCTACTAATCTGCACAATCTGCCTATTCAAAAGCAATGTGCCAATCTGACAATCTTTCCTGCAAGAAATTTCCATGTGGCGCTGAGTACGAGTAGGATGAAAGTCTCAAGAACCAACTGGATATACATTGTTTCTTATATGTGTGTGTATAGAAAACAGAAACTTATTAAAATACCTTACACCTGCTTTTTAAACAGAACAAATAACAGAAAAAGATAACTCTCTAGACTTGATGCAGTAGATAGATGCCCACGAAGAAGACTAAAATCAAATCCTATTCTATAAACAACCCAGCTCCTCAATGGAAACAACCTCGAAACACTCCTAGTCTCTATAATTGTCGTTGAAGCACAACTTTAGATGTCAATAATTAATAAAGTACCATTTATTGAACAATTTCTATAAACTACCAGATGTTAAAGAATAAAATCAAACGAAACAACCAAATATGCAAAACACACAATCTCAACATAACCAAATATGCCTGAGGATGCCTGAGGTGGGTTGTGGAAGGCCGAGGAAGAAGTGAACTCTGCAAACAAAGTTAATTCCAAACCCTAAATTAAATTTCAAAAGGAAGACAGAAATTAGATTTCAAAACACTAAATTAAATTAATTACCAAATTAGATTTCATAACGAACTGTTCAAATCAAGGTTTCTTTTCTTGTTCTAAATAGAAAAAGAAATCATGATTTCACACCAGGAAGGATAAATCATACACAATTCATATTGGAGATGCATTCGCATAGCCTATAAGAATATATACATAACCATAATCGGATTACAAGGAACAAAGAAACAAAAGTAAAAAAGCTCTGATTGCAGAAGGTATTATAGAAAATATTTAAGTCAGGCTCCCTCCCCCATTTAACCTCTCATTCCCTCTATAACCTCTCCGTCGATTCAAAATCCCTAATTCCAAAAGCCCTAATTCAGAAACCCTAATTTCAGAAATTCTTAATTCAGAAACCCAAATTCGAAATCCCTAATCGAATTTGGAATCGAACAATTTGTATGAACTTTGGTTGAGTGTATTGCATGAATTTCTTACCTTTTGCAGTGAGGAGAAGTGCGGACTGAGGTCGAGAGCTCGATTCAAGAGCCGGATTCGGGTGGGTAGATTCAGGTGAAGGCGCGATTCAGGTGAGGAGTGAAGATTGAGAGGAATGAGGACTGGTGGTGTGGGTAGATTCGGGATGCAGGCAACGGATGTGGGAGGAGGAGAGACAAATTGCAAATCGGCGAGGAGAGTGGTGAGGTTTGAGTCTGAGGTGAGGACTTGAGGTGAGCGTCGAGAGACCGAGAGAGAGAGTCAGAGATTGGGTTTGATAACTTTGACCTATATTCAATGGTTGAGATTAAATCTCAACAGAATCCAACAGTTATTAAAATTCTAAATATATATTTAAAAATTAAATAATATATATTTATATATTTCGGTTCGGTTTGGGATTACCGAAATCCCAAAAACTTGAGACCGATTCCCGTACCGAAATTTCGGGATCGGTTCGGTATTGAGTACCGAAATTTTCGGGAATTTCGGTTTGGGATTTTTTCGGTTTGGTTTCGGGAAATTTTCGGTTTGGTTTGGGATTTTTGGGATTTTTTTCCAGCCCTAGTGGTGTGGGTGAGTCTCAGTGGATCCCACACGTTAATCATGCATGCAAGTAGCAATTACATTGACTTGGTTAATTAATAGATTGCAATTGGAATATGAAAATAAGAGAAATTTTTGTTTGTGTTTGGAATACGAGTGGTATACTGCATATCATTATATAAGTGAATAAATTTTTTAATTTTTTAAGTTGTTAATCTTTTAATATAAGTTTCATTTTACTTTTATAGTGACATATGGTGTATCATTCGTGTTCCAATCGCACTGAAAAATCTCTCACTTGCCTGCCAGTCTTATCACCGAGTCTATGGGGAGGTCAAATCTTCTATGCCAAAATGGGTGTGGTCTTTGTTTCTAATCATTGTTTGACACATATTAAATTTATAAAAACAAAGTTAAGAAAAATTAAATTTACAAACCATTGACATCTCCACACTCATCTTAGAGATAGAAAATTTGATCATGTTCTGGAGATGTCAATGGTTTGTAAAAGGGGTATATATCTATACACCATTTTTTTAGTTCTTACATACTCCTTATTAATTTCTATCTTTTGATATTTTTTAATTTATTTGATCTGACGGTTTAAAATTAAGAAAATATGTGAGAAGTAAAAAAAAGTGTGAATAACACATCCTGTTGTAAAATGGGGGAACTTCAACCCGATTCCAAGCAGGCAACAAAACATTGTCTTTCATCAAAATCCCTTCTTCTGGTTGTACACCCATCCTTTTCAATTGATTACTGATTTCTTCTTTTGCATCCTGTCCAGATTAAAATGAATAAAAAAGAATTAAATTAGTATCACATGTCATATGAAAGTAAATATGTGTTCACACTCAGAAGGATAATTACAACAAACAAAGTAATATGCGTCAATCTCAAACAACAAACATATCGTTAAAAATAAACAGCAAGATCATACATCTATGAATCATAATTTTTAGAGTTTACTACCTTCTTTGTGAGATGACTCCAATTTCTATTAATTTTAAGCCACATAGATATTATGATGGATGAAAAAAATGAACGCCAAAAAACAACAATGTTTCGAGACTTTTGAAACACCCAATTTTAAACATGAAAATTTGAAAGATATTTCTCACAAAAACAATTCTATTAAAGAAAACTTAAAGGGCCTCACTATTAACATAAATGATCTGGGAGGGAAGAAACATTCGGGAAGAGGGAGAGAAAGAGTTTAGAGATGTGGTTTTGTGGCGTTTGGTACGTGGAGTGGAACGGAACAAGTTCGTCTCACGTTTGATGTGATAAAAAATATGAGACGCGCCTATCCTGAAATGAATTTTAGTCTAATTTTTGTACCCGACTCCCCCATAAAAAGGACTTATTCCACCCATGGAACACAAAAATACCCCTTCTGTTTTTTAATAATTCTACACCAAATCATAAAAACAAACCCTAATCTTGTGTCTTTCTTCTCTCCTCGTAGCCCCTCTCCTCCTCGTTGTCTTCTCGGCGGCGAGGCTCCATTCTCTGCTTCGTTCACTGCCTCTCTCTTCTCTCGTTGCAGCATCTCAACATCTCCCCGCTTTGATTTAATTGTCAGTTTTTCTGAATTGGTTGTGATTTTCCTCATTCGATTGACCATGGTTTTTTTGGGTAGAAGTGGAAAACCCTAGAAATTTATGGGTTTTCACTGAAATTGATTTTCCGTACCACAAGCTTTGCACTGTATGGGGTTAAGGGTGTAATTTAGAGGTATACATCCGTTTCTGTGTTTATGTTTATGCAACTATTGGCTGAGAAAATTAATCGCTTCTTAATTGTTCCTTCTCAGAAGCTTAAGGGAATATGGCTGCTGCGATGAGTGTGAAATAATTACCCAGAAATACATTATTACCCAGAAGAACCTAATGAACTTCTTCATTACCAACAAATATTAATATTCATTAAGTGTCAATGTCACAAATATATCATAAAATAAGCAAGGTTATGTTGGCCTTTTAATTTTTTTCTTTCTATTCCGCGCTGAGTATCAAACTCGAAACTGAACAATTGACTCATTTCAGCATGCACGTACTGAACGTACCTTCGAACCTCTGCTCCAGTCTTTTATGTTCCGTCTACGCATCAATCGCTATCTTAATTCTTTTTAAATTTGAATTTTATTTTTTAATCTTATTTATTTTCTATGATTTTATCTCAAAAGAAAATTGTAGTAATATTTATCTCAATTTTAACACAATTGGAATAATAATCTTTCAACTAAAAATTCGTAACCATTGATTTCTTTACTCAATAAAACGTGCAACTATGAACATTTTCAACAACTCTGTCAGAACTTTTGTCAAAATGAGACTAAATCAACAAGCAAATATAAAAAATCAAATGAGAAAAATTGTAATAATGATCCATTAACTTTAACCTAATTGTAGCAATTCCATACTGACTTATTTTGACAAAAACAAATTATTTGGTATATTTTCCAGGTGCCTCACTCCGCATTCAAATGTGAAGGATTTCTAGGGTTTCACTTCAGCAGGGCTTCTTTATATTATTGCAATTTTCAAGGTATAAACTTTTCCCTTATCATCCCACTTTCAGCAATCCCAAATTTGCTATATTTTCCTTATTCTTCAACCCCTTTGTTCTTTTCGCAGAAAGCCGGTTGTCGATTCATTCAATCCGTAGCAGATTTTGGCGCGAAGAAGCTCCATTGATCCAGAATACACAAATGTGTTGGAGCAATGAATAGGGCACCTCATATGAGGCAAGAGTAAGAGGAACAAAGAAATAGCCTTTTTACTTCGCATTATATTCCCGTTACTTCCATTTTTATTTATCCGGAATTCGGGTATGTGCAGTCGTCCCAATCTGGGTCATGATTTCTGTGCCCAGACGCCTGTTAAAGCTAATTTGTTGGAACATGTCAATGCATTTGATAATTTCTCGTGCCCGCATAGTGTTCTGAGTTCAAATTTTATTTTCTCCTTACCAACACAAAAACCTCTTGCCGAAGAGGCAATGGTTTCCGGGTATGTCGCGGTTATACGTGTTTGTTTCATTTTTTTTTGTTTTGTTTGTACTGTTATTTCATTTTATCTTGATGATTACTTGTTATTTGGTGACAACTTGGCATCAGTTTTTGTATTTGGTGATTGTGGTCTTTTGCTTGGGTAAAATATAGCTCTTGTGTTTGTGTTAGTTACATGATTTATTGTTTGTTTCAGCTAATTTTAAGTTTCATCTTACATTAGCGATCAGGGCCGGTTCTGAGATTTTAGAGGTATGGGTCCCTGCATAAAAGAATCCCGCTATAGTGAAGCTAATTTATGTGTCTATAGTTGTATTAATATGGTATCTAAATAGAGTATTATTACTCATGAGTTATATTTCAAATCAACACTAATCATGAAAGTAAAACGCAATTTAGAGCTAAGCCATCAGAACCAAACTAAGAAACATAAAACTGATTCCTCTAGTACAGATGGAGGCCATTATTCTCTTGTTCACATACAAATCCTAAAAAAGTTCCCTAAGTTGAATTATTTTTACGGAAACCAAGTGGGTACATATGTACATATGATATCATCATTTAGGAACCCCTTAAGATTGGGGGCCCTGTGCAAGGGCACCTATTGCACATGCCCAAAGCCGCCACTGTTTGTGATAGATATATATAATATATCATTTTAAGAATGGATGCCTTTGTGAATTCCATTTTTTGTTTTCCTCGAATCAATCATTTCTGACTGTTGGATACTACTTGTTCTTGATGGTAGACATGGATTTTTATACAACTAACGATACTAATACCTCAAAGCATTTAACCTGGTATGTATCTTGAGTCTATTTGAATATTTTTTTTTTCTTTCTAATAAAGGTTCTCTTTATGCTTTTAGCTCAATGGCTTGTCCAATTCAGAATGCTGAAAGATTACAGAGTGCACAAGTTCAAAAGGTACACATGTTGGATGAGGGGTAGTCAATCTCATTTGTCTTTTTAACTTGGTTATTTGGTTTTTTCAATATTTTTAACAAACTGTGGTCCTACCAGCTCTTTCCTGGCAAAGTTTTTCTGATTTGGCTTTTGCTTCTGAATGGGAAAATTTTGGCAGGCTTGGCATGTCCTTTCCAATCTACAGATTTCTTGTAGGAACTACCCAAAACCTGGAAAAACTCTTCTAGTTAAGGATGTTAGTGCCGAGTATCGTCCTGATGTTGGAAGAACTGCTTTGCCAAGCTCATGCAACATTGATAAGAGTCGCGCACATATGCAAGCGCATCAATACAATAATGGAACTAATACCAGGAACAGTGAAGCAGCAACTTGTTCGGGCAATCCGCTTCCATCAAGTAATTTTAATGTTGCAGATGCAGGAAAAAATCTTGGACGGCAAAGTCAGGTCAGAGCATCAATGGTCAACAGTTCTGATGCTCGGGTGTTGGATGGATCACTTAGCAACAATAGTGTTCATACCAGCCAAGGGAAAGACTCTGCAGAAGTTTTTGTTAATGACCTGGACGACGATGATGATGACATACTTGAGGTAATTCATATCTGTTTTAGTCTTTTAGACCCTGCAAAAGTTTTTGTAAATATGTGTTGAATAAGGCTACTGCTGTAAAGATCTAGATGGAAGTTCACTAACTAGCATGTGGTTGTTACGGTTCTACTAAGTGCTATTTTGTATGGTGACTTAATTGCTTCTAGTCAATCCATG